GTGGTTTGGAGAAACGTTGTCCAAAGGACATGTGTGGATTGTCAAGGCAGGGGAGGCTCGTTTTGGACTAGAATTAGATTGGGAAAAGCCGTGGCGCGACCAGGTGTTCGGGGCCAAGATGAGCGAAACAAATGGCAACAGACGTCCTTTTTCTTTCTAGGGATTCAGAGGCGGCGTTTGGCACCCAAAGTGGAACCAGGGGAGGCTCGTTTTGGACCAGAGTTAGATTGGGAAAAGCCGTGGCGTGACCAGGTGTTCGGGGCCAAGATGAGCGAAACAAACGGCAACAGACGGCCTTTTTTTTTCTAGGGATGCAGAGGCGGCGTTTGGCACCCAAAGTGGAACCAGTGGAGCCAGGCGGCGTTTTTTGAGATGTCGCAGCCTTTTTTGGACTGGCGCAGCGTCTGGGCCAAAGTTGCAGAACAGCTCCATAACCACTCCTGCTGTCCCTGAAACAATCCTGGAAGTGGGTGGCATGGCCAGCATGGATTTAGAGGACCATCGTCTACAAACAGGTTCACTTCAAATGTCCATCTCCAACACTCATCACTAATCGCATCAATCCTCAAATCTCACACCGGCGTTTTTCCAGCCTGGTTCTGGAATGCCGCCGTCAAGTTTCCATTTTGATCGTAGGTCTTGTCGCCAGCCATCGTGAGAATATTGAAAGCTTTACAGTAATTTATTGCATTCTGAAGTGTACCTGCTTCAACTGTTGAACAACCCGTCCAATTTGATCGGTTTGTTTCATAGCTTTTTGCCGAGTGCAAGCTGCAGTACTCCTGCTCCTTGATGAGTCCCGGGGTCGGCGGCAGGGGCGGCAGCCCTTAAATCCGGGCGCCGGCCACGAAGCCCGTGCCCTGCCCGGAGGGCCTTCGGTGGTAACCGAAGGTTATAGACGGTCGCGCCGGCTGCCGCCGACCCTCGGTCCCAAAACGGGGGGACGACCGGTCAACTGAAGCCCCTGTAATTTACAGTGTATCGTGTGTGTGAGGTATAAAAAACACTGTGCTTTACAGGGTTTATTGCGCATATCGAAGTACGACGCGGGGAAGAGGGAAAAATGCAAAAATGCTGTGTTTTTCAAGGGTGGTGTCGGTAATGTGGGCCGGGCGGACAGGCTTAATCGACATTTTGTGGGTAGAGGCCCTCCAGACGATTTACATTTCCTAACATATCCCCAACATAGGCCCAAGATAGCCATCATATCCCCAACATATGCCCAACATAGCCTCCAAGATGGCTCAACATTGGCCTAACATAGGCCCAACATAGGCCCAACCTAGGCCAACATAGGCCAACATAGGCCTAGCATAGGCCAACATAGGCTCAACATAGGCTCAACATGGGCCCAAGATGTGCCCAACATAGACCACATGGGCAACCTAGGGCCAAGATGCGCACCAGATAGCTTCACTTTGCTCAATATAGGCCCCAGCAAGGCCAACATAGGCGCGCCATGCTCCCCACAGACCCAAGTGGCCGGCGCCCGGCTGTCAGGCGTAAGCCTTTAAATATATGAATAGTGTATAATTAAGGTGTGAAGGGAAAGACCTCCTTAGAGCCAAGTCTCGCAATGGCTCGTGTACGGAAACATGTCGAAAATGGCCAGCGAAACCACCTGAAAGCCTAAAAGAGGGAGCCGCTTGCGACGCTCAAGTGGCATGAGCATGACCGAACCCGATAAAAGCACGTCCAGGCCTTCACGCAAATACTCCAAGTCAGATGCGAGGGCTAGCGGATTGCAGGAAACGTACAAGATCCTGACAAGATATTGATCAACCGAACCCGTGCGTGTCTCATGCGATATGATGCGATCAGTGCAGATCAGTGCAGATCAGTGCCGCAAACCGAGCAGCTGATCCATTCTCGCAACAGTCTCCCGTGTCTTCTCGTCAAGGCCTCTCAGGCACATTCTGACCCACCAAACCTACGGCAAACACACACACGTGGGCCTGCCCGCGGGGGATCCACGAGAACGATGTGGCACCCTGTGTAGGTTGCCACGTCGATCTCCGCCGCGTCTGCCCTGACCACGCGCGTGTTCCTCGGCAAAAGCTGGCCATCTAAGCTGGCAACATGCCCATGTCGGGCAGCTCAAATCGTCAACACGTAAATGTACCTGTGCTTCTGCATGTCGGGATCATTTTGGAATCTTGATTCTTGATTCGTCAGATATTCTCACACAGGCAAGCTCGCAGGATTTCGATAGACTTCGTTTAACATCCTGGTGCATCTGATACTCTTGATGTTGTTCATCTTCAAGTTCTCCTGCCAGGGTAGCAGAAAAGCAAGGTCCACCGCAGTTGGTCCACCAGTCCTCCGCAGCTTCAGCCAAGATCCTATTGATCTCGACTGCTCGCACTTCTTGAAAGGTGGGTGCCAATGCAACAGTATTGTTGCCACCTGGATGAAAAAACAAAAGAAGTACACAGAATACAGTTCAGACCACTTCACACATCGGAACCACCGCAAACCACAGTCTTGTTGCATCGAACCGAACCGTCGAAAGTGGCCGTCACATCGTGTCACGCCTCCACTGTGGAGTTCCAGCAACACGGGGGATGACGACCGACTCGTCCTTCCGCCCGACCAGCGGCATTGGTGTTTACTTTGTTTGTTTTTTATAGTGGATTGAGAGTAGATGGCACAATCCCCAAAAGGTGGTTTATATGGACCCCCATCTAAAAGACATATAGGGGTGCTAGTGCCATCTACTCTGAAACCACTGTAATCGTGTTTCATTTCAACTGATGCCGAAGAAACCACCGATTCTCGCAGTCAGGTCATGACAGTCGGGCCTGCCGAGAATCGGTGGGAAACACTCTGTCATGTCCTGGTTTGTGCCACGGCTTCTTTGGCCTGCTGGCATAGCCAATTTAAGCAATGCACCTCGCAACTTGCATTCCTTAGCAAGGCTGATGCCATCCGAAACGAGGCGAGCACGGAAACAGCATGACAGCAGTGGTCGTCGCATGTGTCAGCCCAGTCGCGGGTTGGAAAATTGCCCCTGAAGGGGGAAACAGAGTGAGTAGGAAGAAAGGGATTATGAAAAAGGAAGGGGCCTTAGCTTCCTTTGCTCTCTTTTTGTCCTTCTTTTACTTTAGAATCTTTTCAAATTAAGACTTGTTCTCTCTATCCACTTTTCTTTTGTCTGCATCGCACTCACTCTCACTCACTCTTCAATCTCGCGAGTTCTTCTCTTCCCCGGTATCGCGAAGACCGTGCCTCAGGCTGATGGTAAGTTAAGGTCCGACCATCCTCCAGTGCAAAGGACTCCTGAACAAAGTCGCGGCCCAAAACCAACCGCCGCCGCTTCCAGCGCCCGATCACATCAATCTTGGATCCTGACGTCGACACGAACGCGGTGCCGGAAACGAGGTATGCAGAGTGATTCCAACCATTTAGCCCCCTGCACAAGCACCCAGTGGGCAGAGAGCTACTACCAGTACTGAAACCAAACAAGTGAGGAACCGGAAGAAAATGGAAGAAAATGGGCCTCTCGACTCATCTTCTGACTCATCTGCACCCACGTCAAGCGCGTTCCATTCACATGCATTCGCCCGCCCAGTGCGCCTTGGACGCCCGCTGCTTCAACGCCCTGGTGCCTCAGATCGATGTCCCGCTGGGGTGCAAAAACAAACAAACAAACAAACGGAGACCCTCTCATCATGGGGCCTTTTGGGGGTTCGGAGTGAAGAACCGTCCCTTTGCACCAGGTGACAGTAGAGCCTTAAACTCTGCAGCAGCCGCTTTCCATGTTTGCCCCTGAGAAGAAGTCTCGAAGGTGTTGCCATCCTGGAGATCGAAGCTGGGCAGCATCTTGCAGGCAAAATCGAGGGAAATCTTGGTAGACGAGTAGCTGAATCAACTCAGTGCGGAAGTTGGTGCAACACAAGTCAGACGAGATTGTGCAGCTGTACAGTTGCCATGCAGGCTAATCAACATACTGTATACAGTACATTCCAAGGGTTGCACGTGAAGTAGGAAAAGATCGGAGTCGCCCCTGTCAATCATCTAGGTGTGTGTGTTAAAATAGGAAGACCTCCCAGTTCGACCCTCTGGAGGAAGGGACATAGACTGAAACCCATTGGTTGGGAGTCTCCCCATTGGAATTTTTCGATCTACCCTTGCAGGGCTGATGATGATGATGATGATGATAAGGGCTGCGAGTGCTCAGACTCGCCACCTGCCCCATGCCGTGGTGATCATCGACCAGCTGATCGGCACTCCGGCTCCACCTGGATCTCCTGCCGTACGGCGGCCTGCGGCTTCCTTGCAGCTTGCTGCGCTGCTGCTGGAGTTCTCCTTCCAGGACTGTGCCGATTGTGTCTTGGCGGCCTACTAGCGTCGGCGCTGACGCTGGCGGTTTCTTGGTCGTGACGTACCACCACAGCTCTACTTGACCCGGACATCGATTCTGAGGGCAGAGAAGTGGCACTTGAACTTGTACATGAGCGCTCTTCTGGGTCCAAAACCCCAGACGAGGGGGTGCACCATCGGAAGTTTTTCTCTGGTCATTCTGGGGTACTTCTGTTTTCACATGTCCTTTACATTCAACATACACGCACCACCTTGGCAGCCCGAGGGTACTGACTCAGCCATCGGAGTCAGAGGAGTCACATTGCAGACTTCCTCAACACCAACAGCTTTGACGAAGCTAGATGGCCAAAGACCCGCCCCGGACTTGGCACTTCCCCAATGCACACCGCAAAAAGGCTTATTTGAAGGCAGTGAAACGCGCAACTCTTCACGGAGTGACATGGTACAGAGGTCAATACTTGACTGCAACTCAATTGGGGGTGAAGTCTTTGTCACTTCCCCCTCCCCAGGCCGACTCACCAACACAGCCTCCTGGCTTACAGACGGTAGAGGTCAGACCTAATCGACAACCGCCATCAGCATTCAGGCAGGGTCGCCTGACCTACCTGTCCTGGAACATTGGCCGACTGACCCTGATCAAGTGGGACCTCTTTCGCTCATGGCTCCACAGACAGACAGTTGACTGTGTTTGTCTACAGGACACCGGATGGGACTTCACAGGAGAGTGGACTGACCAGGACTATGCGTACATCCACGCTGGGGCCACACATCACAGGGGAGGTCTTCTTACAGTGGTTAAACTTCGTTTCTGCTCGGTGGACTCCATTGCTTGGACTATTCCATTGAACAGCAGGGTGTTACATGTTAGACTTTACAAAGGGTCCTTCAACCTGGACGTTGTGAACGTCTATCAGTTCCCCTACAACCCGAACGACCCCTCGTGCTTGGCTGATAGACAGACTGTTTGGAAAACCCTTCGATCCACCTTTTCTGGACTTCCTCGTCGGAACTGTTGGCTTATAGGGGGAGACTTCAATACGGGACTTCGACATCATGCACAACTGGTTGGACTTGGGGACTTTAACACTCCTACCGGTCGACGCACGGGTTGCTCTCATCCTGATCAACGAGTTTTCCAAGAATTAGTTCGGGACTTCTCGCTCATGGCGCTCAACTCCTGGCTTCCATCCTTGGGGGCAACCTGTGAAGGTCCCAACCATGCAACCTCAAGAATTGACTTCGTGTTGGTTCAACAACGGGATGGTGATGCTGCTTCTAAGAAAGTAATCTATTTGCGGGACCTTCCACAGATGATGGGCTTACACCGTGATCATGTTCCCCTTCTTGGTGGCCTTCCTTGGAGAAGATTTTATGTCCCCAAAACCTCTACTGGTCTTTCACGTACGCAGAGATTGACCCTTCACCATCACTGGTTCCATGACACGGAGGATTGGAAGAACCTGACACACTCCATCAAGGACCAGATGAAACACCTGCATCCACAACAACCCGATCTTTCGGGGCTAAACCAGCTCCTGATCGACTCGTGCCGACAATTCAGCACGACTCCCACACCGCCTCAGGATCGATGGCCATTGAAATGGTCGTGGACCCTGCAATGCGGGGCGGCTCCACTTCCGCCCTCCGAAGCTGGGTCTCAGCTCCTTGGCATTTTTCAGGGATGGCTATGGGTGACCAAACGAACTCGGTGGCGCAAAAAGGCCAGACGGGCTGCCACTGAGCATCGCAGAGCTCGCCTACAGCGTATTTTGGACACTGCTCGCTTTCACTGGGCTGGGAATCAGACGCATCAATTTTTTCAAACTGTTCAAAAGCTGACTCCAAAAACTTTTTCGAGTCGTCCACATCTTCGATGACCGCAGGGCAAACTTCTGTCTCCTACTGAAGAAATGGATACCCTGAGCACGTACATGACTGAACTTTATCAAGGACATGATGAAGATTTTCCTCCTTTTTATTTTGGTTCCTCCCCGGTGGACTCTGAACAGCTTGAATATGAACTCCAGCACCTTCAGGGCAACAAGGCGGCGCCTTCACATATCGCCCCGGGATTTCTCTGGAAAGCACTTGCGCCCTCCATCAGTCCGCTTGTGACAGGATGGTGCACGGAGTGGTTCCGTTCTGGACATCTCCCAGAAGAATGGAAGAGTGGCTGGATCGTGTTTTTGACCAAGCCTCACAAGGCGCCTACCCAACCCAGTGCGCTCAGACCAATTGCGCTACAAACTCCACTGTCTAAGTGTGTCATGTCACTCATGGTTCAAAGAGCTAGACACTTTGCCTTGCCCGTCCTGAACACACTTCCACAGTTTGCCTACCTGCCGGGACGCGGCGCTTGGGATGCCATCTGCCGGGTCCATAAACATGCGCAGGAAGTCAGGGAGCTCAGTGACCGTTGGCGCTACCATGCGGGCCGCCTGAACCGCCCGGAGGGAGCCCGTCCTACCCTCTACGGAGGCTGTCAATTGTTTTTGGACTTGACTCAGGCCTTTGACCACATGCCCCGACAGTCCTTGCAGGCCGCTTTTGATCAACTTGGAATCCCTATCCCTCTCTCCAATGTTCTGCTTCAATGGCACACTGGAACCAAGTACATTTTGAACTACAAGGGTCAAGTCCGAACAATTAAAACCTACAAAGGAGTTCGACAGGGCTGTAGGGGTGCCCCCTTTTTCTGGGCAACTTTCATCGCACTGGTACTTCGGGAGGTTGCTCGTGTCACCTCAGAGTCATGGATGATGTCCTCATGCACTTTCTATGCCGACGACGGCCATCTTTGCTTCCTGTTCACGGACATGCATAGTTTTGAACATGGTCTCCATTGTATGGGTCGGGTGTTGGATGTTTTACATGATCTGGGGATGAAGGTCAACCTCCAAAAGTCCGCCATTCTGTTGGAGCTCAAAGGAACGCACCAACGCACTGTGAGGAAGGAAATTTTTGTGCTGCCGCCTGCATCAGACGATGTTGATCATCCCAGGTTCCCACGGACAGTATGAGATTCCAGTCAAAACCTCTCAAGACTACCTGGGTGTGAAGGTCAGCTACACGAACATGTACAAACAGACTACGCAACATCGACTTGCGGCATGTCAGCACCGATTCCGGCAACTCAAACCCTGGTTCAAGCGGGGGAACAACATCACCATGGAGCAGAAGCTGCACATTTGGACCACTTGTCTCCTTCCGATTGGGTTGTATGGGGTTGATGCCACCGGAGTCACGAACTCCTCACTCACCATGTTTCAGAATAAAATGATGCTCCAACTTCGCCAAGTTGCAGGTGATCACTCCTTTTTGACTCACAATTCTCATCGAGCCTTCCTGCGTGTGCATGGACTGGAGCACCCGTTGAGTGCTCTGCGTCACCGCCTTCTTTCCCACATTCAGAGGTGGGAACGGAATCAGGGCCACTTGCAGCCTGATGATATTCTTCATGGTACTCATGTTCAACACATACTTCATTCCATAGAACTCATTGACCAATGGCTGCAGGATCACATGGACGATGCCGCCGATGATTCACCAGAGCTGGCCCAGGCAGGTCTGAACTGTGAACAGTGTGGTCTCACCTTTCGACGACTTCGCACATTACGGCGACATCTCATCCATGTACATGGCATTGCGGTGATGCAGGGACCAACTTTCCAAATCTCTAGGGATGCGGTTGATGGACGCCCGATATGCAGACACTGCGGTGTAGCTTTCATCAGCTGGCAAAACCTTAAACATCACATCAGCTCTCACACTTGCACCCACTTGGATCCAACCAAGGCACCGCCGCTGGTCCTGACCAGCCACCGACGACGACTCCTGGATATCTATGATGCTGGAGATTTGCAGCTGCTCAAGGATGATCATCCTCTCTGCACCTCCTGACGCATCGCTGCATTCTCTGTGGCTACTGGGCTGCACGCACTCAGCAGATGAGTGCGCATATGAACAGGGAACATTCAGGCGCTGCCACGATCATGCATGAAGTGCTTCCCAACATCACTCGAGCCAGAGTGACTTCACCATGCTCATATTGTCACATGGAGTTCAAGTCCAAGACCCACACATGTCCCGTGATGAAACAACTGGGCCTTGCACTTGGTGACCGACGACACAGGGACCTTCACCCGGATGCACCTGATCCTACCCCTCAGGCCCACACTTGGGCGCAGGCTCACTTTGCTTGTGGCATTTGCACCAACCGATTCGCCACTGCCGCCGGCCTCCATCAACATATGAGCATGCAACATCCACATACGACGACCCAGAACACGTTCAATCCTAGCAGGGACCAAACTCCTGGTCAGCTCCAATGCACTCATTGTGAAACCACGTTCACCACCTTGAGGGAGCTGAAACACCACATCGACGGCGACCAATGTGAGGCCTATACTCAGGACATGGCCGAGACACCATTTCTTTGGCGGCACCCTGTCATTTTGGCTGGACTCAGTGGGGGCACGTTCGATCACTTGGTGGGGTACAAAAGCCTGTTTCGTCGCCTTGGTCTTAGGTGTGGTTTGTGTGGTCATCTCTCCCAGAGCTCCACCTCCCTTCTCAGACATCTGTGCTCGGATCATGGAGATCGCTGGAGGGAGGTGACCAGATATGCAGAGTGGCTTCAACACTCCACCCTCCTCTCGACTGGGTTGTACTTGTACCCAGCCACCAGGAGGACCCCATGTTTGCACGGTCTTCACTCATCTGGCCTTGATGGTGCGTCATGATCTTCACAAATTCCGCAACTCTGGCCCTGACCTTGTGCTCACGCAGGCCTTGAAGCTGGACCTACTGGTCCTCTGCCCTACACTGCAGCTGAACTATCCAGACCTGGACGAATGGCTGGTCCGTGGAGAACTTTCCAAGATCCTCACCTTGCCGGAACTCTGTGCTGCCCTCAGAGAGTGCTGTGTTCTTTGCGGTCGACTCATTGGGACCCACGACATGTACTTACATCTCAGACATCAACATCCCCGGGATTGCACACGTGGGGCATTGTTTCATAGATATCTTTTGGACATGCTTCCGGAGACCGATCTTTGCTCTCTTTGCCACACACATTCAACAGCAGCACACGAGTGTCCAATCCTGCTCCAACTCGCTGCTCTATTGTGTCGGCTGCACCATGGACACCATGGACAACGATCAGGATCCGGTGCAAGAGATGTGGGGAGTGCTCAAGTCCCTGACACCAATGGAGGTGGACCCCACCCCCAACCCGAAGAGGCAGAGAGCAGACCACCAGCCGCCAAAAGGCAAAGGCAAGGGCAAACACAAGTCTCGCAAAGACCAGAGCCACAATCCACAAGACGCCGAACTTCGACCAGTGGTACAGGCCCTTGCACGGCTGGTTCTTCGACACGAAGACACTCTGAGGGGTCTTGCGGTGGACCAGGACTTCATGCTTTTTTTGAGTCTCGGACCAGGTTCCAGCATGGTCAAGATGATGCAGGCCACGGACGATTGGCACCAACAGGCGCCCAAGGACAGATTGATTCCTCTTCGGATCAAGGTCCTCCATGTTCTCCTGGAGGAGCTCCTGGCCCGTGTTCAGAAGTTGCAGAAGACCCCCTTGGAGGACGCCCTGGTGAAAACCTTGCTGCAGCATCAGTACGTGACCTTGAACGACAATGCTCGAGAGTTACACTTCCCCTTCCTGCACTGGAATCCGGAGCTCAAGAAGCTCGAGCTCAACATGGATCAGACGCCACTCACGATGACCCATGTGGACCACTCAGCTCACTCGCATTCTGACATTGCTTCAGAACCATGCGGCGATCGTCAGATTCAGCGCCCTACGTCCGAATGCTCAGATTCAGCAGCACATGACCAAGCCGACGGTGGCCACTCCACAGGTGATCCCGTGGAGACTCTCGCTCTCCATGAACCACAAGTACTCGCTGGAGATGCATTCCCTGTGGCAGGAGCTGGCATTCTCGGGACTATGGCAACTCATTTTGGGCAGGATGCGACCAGCCTCGCTTCAGAGGACGCCATTGGCAGGCCACCTCGGCCGGATGTTGGAGACCCTATGAGCTTGGCTTCCAAACAGACACTCAGGGGTTTGCAAAACCCAGGAAACTGCTGCTACATGAACTCAGCCGTCCAGGGTTTGCTATGGGGTGCAATCAAAGTGGGGCCTTTGCAGGCACACCAATGGAAGGTCCTACCAGAGATCTTCGAACACATCGTCAGCAATGATGATGGTGGGCCTGTCTTGCTATGGGGCAATGGCAAGTGGCTTTCTTTGATGGATCAATGGGCCCGTCCCTTTGCACAGCACGACCTAGTTGAATACCTCCAGTTCCTGCTTCCCATTGTGGAGCCTTGTTTCCTGAGCAATCTCTGGGAGGCCAGGATTGAGGCAGATGGAGTTGTCCGCACGGTGGACAGCGGGGCACACTTCTGTCCTGTACGTCTCTATCTGAGCGCAGCGGAAAACGAAGATACGACCGAGCTGCAAGAGCTGTTCAGTGCATGGTCACTTGAGTCTTATGGCCTCCAGGCCTTTGCTGGTCCAGCCGACCTACTCACTGTGCAGATAGACCGATTCAATCGAGATGGGGGCAAATGCACTCACAAACTCAGTTGGAACCATCCAGTGTTTGTACCTCACTTCGTGCACTTTAGCATGGAGATTGACAACATTCCATACACGGTGGTTGCGGTTTCCCATCATGTAGGTCATGACCCTCACTCAGGACACTACCAGACTGCACTTTGGGATGAGACCCACTGGGTTTTGTTGGATGATGCAGCGCCTCCAGTGCATGTGATTCGACTTCCGGACGACGTGCTCAGGAACTGCTGTGTCCTCTGGCTGAAGCTTACGGACCATGGCGGAGCTCAGATCTGTGATGTGATTGACTCAGGCTCCTTGGCAATTTTGACTAAGGAACAACAAATGCTGCGCGTAAAGCAAGCGTTCAGTCAGGACCATGCACTTTTTGATGCTTGGCTGCCCGCTCTCGATCGTCTCGACGTTCGATTGCTGCTTGACTCCTTGGAAGCATGCGGCCTCCTGACGCGGCGCTGTGTGCTGTGCAACATGCAGCCGCCTGACCTCAAGTCTCACTTGAGGCTCCACCATGCTGCGCTGTGGGATGAAGCTGAGCAGCCGTGTGAGGAACTCACGTTCCAATTCATGACGCAGGCCAGACCAGGTCGTTTGTGCGCCTGCCAACCTTTCTATAGTGGGATGGAGAGCATGGACGAACATATCTGTCCTTGTTTTCGCAATTTTGGAATGCTCCACCGATTCTTGAAGCGCATGCAGCAGGATGTGGCCATAGAAACGACGGCCGCACTTGCTTTGCAGATCGCTCAGTCCTTTTCATGACCATACGTGGTACGAAGTGCCTGACCTGACAAATGTTCAAGAGGGTCAACGCTACCTCCCGAAGCAGAGGGCGTCGCGAAAGAAAGAAAGATGATGATGATGATGATGATGATGATGATGATGATGATGCATGATGATGCATGACCTCACCTCTTCAGGTAGGACTTCACCTTTCTTCAGGTACTTCAAGCGAGCATCTTGGTAGGCCAAACACCTGAGCCGCTCGCCAGAGGAGCCAAGCCAGGCCGTCCACGGCCATGTCTTCCCGCTGGTCCAACGATCCCATGGACCCAGGTCACACGAGAGCCGTTTCCACCGGGCGACCCAGGACGGAAAGGACGAACCCCCGGTGCCGCCGACGTCCATGTGAGGGAGTGTAGCTTACACGTTAAAGATCTTTTCGGAAGGATGTCAAAGTAAAAATAGAAGACGGCGCTGTTCCTTCAAAAGAAGGTCCTCATGCCTAATTCCGTCTGGACGGTCGCACGGCTGACAAACGCCGCGGTAACGGCCGGTGGGCGCCAGGGCACACCATCAGCTCGCCCGAGAGGGTGGAATGGAACTGAGCGGATCTCAAGCCATGTCCGATGATCTTTCCCCAAGCTGCGCTTCGATCTGCACTTCGATCTGCGCTTCGATCTGCGCGAACGCTCGTGGCATCAGTGTCTACACATTCCCACTCAGCATCATCATTACACTCCTCAGATGAAAGCAGAAAGCAAGCTTCACGTAGACTCCTAGACCTATAGACATCATTGCCCTCCCTTTCTTTCGAGTCTAACTTACGTTCTGACATGCTTGAACAGCGCTATGGGCTGCCCCGTGTCGCTCACGTCCCCGTCCAACACAATGGGCATGCGCCGCATGGCTTCCAGAGCCGCCGAGATCGCCAGGGAATAGATCGGCACCTCACGGGCTCCGTTTCTCCGCACCTCGCGGAGCCCACCCGAGCCAGGCGAGATCGCCAGGGCCCGAGCCACCCGGTCCCCCCGCGCCCCGAACCACGCGCGGCGGTGCCGGACCAGCGGGGCGGTGCGGCCTCCACTGGATCGATGAGACTGTGGTCTTTGGCCTCGGGGTCCCAGCAGGAGAACTCCAAGAAGATGCCCTCGGAGCGCCTCGATCGGTCGAAGTAGAAAGGAGGCGGTCGACCGGAGGCGGTCTCAATGACCTCAATGACTCTTTTTAGCAGAAAATGGACGACATGTGATTCACGGAAGTGGTCTTTTTTCACTTTCTTTCCACCCGGATGAAAAAACATGAAAAAACTGCGCGCCTTGCAGCGGTCGGCCTCTGAATCGCCAAAGGCCCAGCCCGGTGCTGAGACTGAGTCCGCTCGGAAGAAAAGATCTTCGCTTGCTCCTGCGCTCAGCTCGGCCCTTCGAGTCCGCTCAGCAGGGGCCATGGTGGGTGTCACAACCCAGGTGGCCCGGGTATGGTGGGTCTAGTTCCACCGGCACGACATTTCACGTAGACTCTTGATGAATAAACCCTCCCCATGTGAAGAGGTTCTTCAAAACAAATGGTGGGAGTTATGTGCCACTCTTGCAGCGGGGCCATGGTGGTGTGTAGGAACTGGCTTCGGAAAATAGGTTTGAGGATATCTGTAAAATACATCATGATGGCTGTGCCCAACGCCACAGTTCGGGTCCTTTCCCGCATCTGAGTTTCGACCCACGGCCAGAACAACAGAAGTGTCCAGTGACTCAACCAGTGAACCTATGACATGAGCTGTCCAGCACGGATGCGGCCACCACGCTCTTCAGTTGCTCCTGACAAGTGGAAGCTGCTTCAGCGACTCTTCAGTTGAACAAAGCTTCAGAGAGATTCTTTTCGGGGCTCACCGCACCGCTCGCCTCCGAGCCACGGTCTCTTCGAACGACGCGTCACGCGCCACTCGCGCCACGCGCGACCTTCACATCACTCACCTTCTTCCGGAGAAGTTCAGCATATCTGTCCACCTGAACGAAAATGTGCATCGGGGTGTTGACCCACCTGTTTATTCCGGGGTTTAGGCCCTGAGTGACGTTCATCACTTGATGTCTCACTACCAGGGCGCCTGGCCCATGAATGATGATCCAGGCCTTTCCATCTCACTACCATGGTGGATCATCTTTGAGCGACTGTTTGTTGCTGGTAAACCCGGGACACATCCAGCAAGTACTTTGATTTCATCTCGTATTTGTTTACTCGTGATGAAAGGGGCTTTCGGGTAAACCAGTAAATTTAGATCCTCTGATATCCTCTGCAAATGTACTTGAGTTCATCTTTCCAGCGCCTCAATCTTGTCTCCAAGAGAGCCAAATGGTCGCTGACCAGTTCGACCACTTCGAGCTGGTCTTGTTCGCAGCACTTCAGCCATAGGATCCATGGCGATCAGGAGAGCAGGCCGCAAGAAACCCTACCCGATATGTATGTACATACATGTATATGTATGTATGTGTGTATGTATATATATAATTATATATATATATTGGCTCCGATGTAGGTATGAATGAGTACAGGCCCAGCAGTATGTTGATTCAAGGCTCTGATGTAGGTAGGTCTAATGCCCTGATCACGGCGGAGCAATTGTTTACCTGACCACGTATCGAGTTGCCATCAAAAACGACACAGGTTGATGTTCTTCTTGTTCCCCTGCCGCGAGCTTGTACAGCTGCAGTCACGAAAAAAAAAAAAAAAAAAGCAAATTAGTTACACATGTGTGCGTTCGAAAGAGTGAACAGCAAACTAATTGCGTGTTAAAAAAAGAAGTATCTGCACGTAGAAAGAAGGCTGAACATTCTCCTCACGGCATCAGAATCTCTTCTGCCTCACCACTTGGCCGCATGGCTCACCACTTGGCATCCAACAAACAGCTGGACGGTGAAAGCTCCAATTTCACCGTTCATCAGCTGAAAGAGCCAATTCTTTGCCTCCAGAACAAGCAGGGATAAGGCTAATGGGTAAGGCTAATGGATACTGCTGGCTCATAGCTTGGATCTTTCTCCCTGCCTTTTGGTTTCAAATCAATCAGCTTCGCAAGCTGAAGGCTACTCACTGGACAAAGCCAAGGTTCGGTGTGATGTTGAGATTTTGCATGACTACTTCTAGTCTGAGTGAAAAGAGACTTTGAACCATCACAGGCCGGAGCATTTGCGATGCTTTTTCTGAACGTCTATATACCCTTTCTATACCCTTTCTAAGAGGCCACTGCATGGGGCCATGGACATTGGAGATGCTGTAAATGGGTCTCTACTTCAGTAAGGTGAAATCGCTTCATTCTCCAAAGCAGGGACTTAGCCAGTCCAATAATCCTGCAACTTCCTCGCTAGGAATGAATAGCAATTCTGGAAATCCTATACAAATCAAACCGTCACCATCGGCCAGCGAGCAAGAACGGCGAGGACAAGCGGAAAGGTGAGAAGCAAGGTCGTGGTGTCAATATCTTCCAAATCAAGCCCCAAATGCCCTGCTCCACAAATGAAAGCAAGCTCGGCATTCTCAGCACACTCTAAAGATGCGACTCTTCAAGTAGGTGAAGTGAACGTCAAAGCTGACAGAAATCACTTGCAGCCCGCCTGCTTAGCCTTATGATCATTCCATCCATCGATCTTATGTCCCTGAGCTGCCACATGAAAAGCTAGAGGAAGTAGTGTAAGAATCCTTGTAGTGCTTTCTTTCAAGATCCGCTGAACCTTGAGATTTGGGCGGTGTGTAGCGTTTGCGGGTCAAGCCCAATTGTGTTTCCAATGGCAAGCTCCTGGACAGCTCGACAGTCCCCGCTGGACGGACGACGATGGCGAGGACGCACAAGGCCGAAGGTCTCCAGGCCGAAAACGTGTTTGTCGAGGCCGAAGATGCCGGCTCCACGTTTCCACGTGTTGGCCTTAATTCTTGTTCCGCTCGGGGCCCTAGACTGTGCAACCTGGGCCAAACAAGTCTTCGATATCGTCACGTGTGAGTCTTTAGAACCATCATGAACCATCCACCAGTGAATCTGCTCAGTCACGTGCCGTATAAACTCCTCAACCTCAAATTGCCAGACTTCAAGCAAATGTCTTCGCAAGTTCCAAACATGACTGTCCCCTTCACCTGTGATGTTAGAAAAGTGAGCAGTATCGAGATGCAGTGGGAATATGCTACTCACGAACAGCATTCACAAATGAGATTTGCCGGGTTTGGAAGCAAACCGGTATCTTCTGCATTCAACAGAAAAGCAATGTCCTTTTGATACGATGAAGAAATATTGAAATATCATGATAAAAAGGTAATCCTTGCGGATGTCAAGCACGAGAGACCCCATAGCTACTGTGTTGGAACCCCAAATTACAAAAAGTCAAACGCTCAAACCGTGAAGTCGTCGTTTCAACAACATGCTGTTGTGCTTCGGTCGGGCTTGCGATCGCTCGCCTCCGCGAGAGGCTGCATGTTGCCCCAAGCCTCGGGGGCCGAACCAAAGGCGGCCCGTTCGGCTCGGCCGGAAGCGACGCGCTGCGCGACGCGACCTCTCCGGGCGCCCGTGCGGCATTCTGAGCCCATGCAGGATTGGCCGGTGGCGGCGGCGGATCCTAGGAGTGAGCAAGCTCCTTCGGGACGAACGAAAAATGGACTGAAGATGATTGAAGGCGGCTGCGGTCGGTCTAAGACCGTTTTCTTGTTTGAGCTGTAACATCTTTCTCTTGCGAAAAAAGTAACAGTGATTCATAGCTCAGCCAAACTGGGCCCGTACTAGGGGGCGAGTACTGCTGGTGCTACCACCATCAACTTGCATAGGTCTGGCCTCAGAATTCGTTGCATTCGACCTCACAGTCATGGAAAACCTCTATCAACAAGAAGACTGAAGGGTCTCTTGCTCAACCGTTCTTTTCACGCGCACAGCACTGACAGCTCTGCTGCCCTAAGGGAGCCCTTGAAAGCTTTTCTGCAGAAGGGCTTTTAAATCTAGGGATCGATATATGGATATCGATAGTGTACCACTTCCTAACCTCTTGTAAGCAAACACAGATATGTTGGTGCTTGCTAAAGAAACTGGACAATCAGAACGTCAAGCGATCACCGACTTCTTTTGGGCAGCATCGGTACCTCGCCGCTCAAGAAAACAAATCAGGAGTTTCGGACAACTGGAAATCCATAAAACACTTACTTGCAGAATGACGCTTGTAGCTTTATCCACGTATCTCAAGAAGAGTCAGCATATCGATACATATGCTTTCGTTGTTCTGAAACAGTGGCGCCTTCTGAAACCCACCGTTTGACCCCCCCCCCCCGCTGTGTGGCGCCGCGCCTGCGGAAGATGTGGAGGTAGCATCTTGATGGTCCTCGACAATGGAGAACTCTCCGACCTCACTCGACCCGGGGAACCGGGCTCGTTCACCAGTCCCGGCCGGTTGGAGCCGAACCGGTGAACCGGTTCACCGTTGAAACGCCGGGCGCGAACCGGAGACTCGGCTGGCCACCCCAGGATTGCGGAGGAGGGGAAGCTGGCCTTGCGGACACGTGCTGGCCGTGCAAAAAGGGATCTGTTTCCAGGTTTCTCAGACGCCACGGGACTCAACCCTTGGAGTGCCACCCATTCTTGTGCGGTTCCGGTTCATCGATCCATCCTCGCCTCGCTCAACAGCGGACTGGCGGCCGCGGCGGTGGCGTCCGGCCTCGGCCGGATGCGACCCGCGGATGCGACCGGCGACACCGTGCTCGGTGGCTCAGGACCCGGCGAACAGTCCACTTCAGGCACAGCAATGGGCGACCTTTGTGGCGCCAAGACTGGTGGTGCAGTGTGATCGTGCTGCGGGCTCAAGCTGCATTGGCATTGGTCAACTTTGAGGTATGCAAGTCCATGCAAATTTCATCTATTACCTCCCACAAGACTATTGGCTCAAGTCTCATCTGTGAGCATGGCAAGGTGTGATCAATGCTGGGCTCTGTGTACTGCAAGGTGTCCTGGGCGGAGTTTCCGTGCATCTGCGTTTCTTCGAAGCTGCCCAGCAGTTAACCAGCCTCTTCCTCATCATTGCTGGATGCTTGAACCTTGGCCATGTCTGAGTGTTGTGCAATCTGTCTTCCTCAAAAGACAAATGTGCAAAAGAAAATAAACAATAATGACAATAATGGAAAGGTTCTCTCAAGCTTAAGTGTGATACTGAAGATGAGATCACCTTGCCATTCCTGAGTGCATTGCAGGTGCAAGTATCCCAACAACAAGCGCAGCTGGTGACAGGTGATGTGCAACCCAAACCCTTATGAAGATTGCTGCAAACATCGGAAACATGCCTGGAGACCTGCAAGACCACATCTCATATGCAACATGTGAGGATATGTCGATTTAGAAGTCCACATCTCATCCGCCAAGGCTCTTCCCACTCTCAACCTGGCAAGCTGCAACATCCAGCATCATCCAACCAGAAACCACCCCACCCCGAGTTCTCTCCAGGCTGCAGCTGTTTCCCCAACCAGAAACCGCCCCACCTCACGCTGTTGGAGAAGTTCACTCAGCTTCTCCTGCCGCCGGTGGCCCGGCAAGGAGCCCAGCTCTGATCTCAGCTGCCGAGGGGAGGGTCAATCTATCAAATGAAGCCAGCAAGTTCTTACGGCCCCGCCTTTCTTGGGGTAGAAACCATACAGAAACAAAGACCAACCAAATCAGAGAAAGAAAGTGGTACGAACTGGCACCAAGAACCACTCTGGAAGCGTCCAAACGGCAGGGTAGGATTTGTTTGCGCCCTCTACTTGAAGCTTTGCTTCACTTAGCCTAAGTCATGGCACCAGGATCTATGGGCAACGCAAAAGCAAGGACTAGCCGACGAGTGACAAGGGACGCACAAAGCACCAGCCCCGGAAGGCATGCAGCAAAGAGTGTTCTTTGGGAAACAGCGATGAATCGTGGAGCAAGGAGTGGTCCAACTGCTACCTCCAACATCCTCTATAGTGGTCCCCAAATAGATAGTGGCACCGTTTCCGATACATTCCTGGCAGAACTCTTCCAAAATAGAGACTCTGACCCGTGTCAGAGTCTAAGTCGTAGAGACTCTAGCCCACGTCGGATGACATCGGAGTGGACCCAGAAACCCCCCGGCACCTCCAAGCGCTGCATGTCCGCCTGCCCGCGCGTTCCGGGGCTCGCGGGGCTCCCACCGGATCGGGACGAAGAGACGAAATGGCCAGGTTCGGTGCAGAAGAATGGGAAGGAAAATCACATGAGCGATGACAAGTGAGGTTAAGAGACGAATCTGGATGAATCAAACGCCCCCTAATTCATTGGATTGTGAAATCTCTGTGCGTGTGGGGGATGTTAGTCAAGAATCAAAAGTCTACATTAAAATGCCAAGACACATCTTGCTAGGATGCTGATGCATGGCTGCAAGATAGGCCTTGTGGGACTCTCGCATATGCTGCAGCTGGTGCTGGTGTTCTCGCTCTCTGGCCTCCGCCCAGGCTTGCTTGACAGCAGTACGGTACCAGTACATTCAAGTATGCGCAGCTTACATCGACCCGGCCTGTTGGAACTCTTGCATGAGCTGCAACTGTTTCTGATGGCATCGTTCCCTCTCCTGCCGCTGCAGACTTGGGGCGAAGGCCGAAGCGAAATTCATGTCGTCCTCCATCATCTTCATCATCTCGGAACGGATGCGGTCCTAAACCAACATAGATGCACAAAGATGCAGCATCTGAGAAAAAACGATGCAACAAGGAAACCACATTCATCCACATTCTCTACTCTCATCCAAGGTGCCATGTGTGACATCTCCGAAGGAGATGGTGCAGCCTGGGAAACCCAAACCTCTCCAAGTCTCCTAAGTGTACGAAACCCTGCAACTTCAGGCCTTCAACGGTGCAGAAGCTGGAAAGAACCTGCACATGTCGCCACCCGCCACCCGCAGCTGAAAGGATGGCATCCCAGCCTCAGAGCTTCCGACTTCCTGCCAGCTTCGTGGGTGGAAGTCCGATGCATGCTGGTCATGCTGCTCATGCGGTTCCAGTGGCGGCCAGTGTCTGCTTTCCAGACGCTTCCAAGTCGGTCTAGAACACAGTTCACCGGTCCAGACGCTCCCGCCTCACAGATCTCTGGGGCAGCTGAGGAGTCGAGAAGAGAGAAGCTGATTGAGTTTGACCTCGCCAGGGGCGCACCGTGGGAGAACAAAAAGGACCACGGCTCCCACGCTCCCACGCCGTCGGCCAAACAGGGCGTCGGAAAATCCCTAGAAAACCTTCAGACGTTTGGCTTCTGAGCCAGCATCTGCAGCGCAGTTCACATCCGCAGCACAGTTCAAAAGATGCCAAGATAGCACCAAGGGTGTCGCATCTTCCAATTTCAGCACCCCGTTGATCACGGCCCTTTCTTTTGCAGAGACACCGTTTGCCCAAGCAGAAACGGCTCGATCCGTTTCTGAAGGGCCGTTTCAAACCACACGCCGCCACTTTGTCCAGGAAGGAAAGGACCCCGGATCCAGGTTTGGCCACCCAGGTCGGCTGCTTCACATGTTGACGAAGAATCACCATGCAGAATGCAACGCAGGGCTATTTCAAGAAAGAGAATTCAGTGAAGAGTTGGCCAGATCTAGTTTGGCAGCTGTTCAAGTCACTCCCAGCTTGCCCAAAGCCACTCCGATCCGGCAGCCAGCAACCCCAAAAAAATATCAGGAAAGCGATTGAATTTTCAGCACAGCCACGAGATGTCATCAATGGTGAGGTCCATGTCGTTACTCTGGAAGGATGCGAAGGGCCTCAAAAGGCGGCAATCCACACTCGACCAAGTAAAAGACACATGTGCTGGCCTCACAAGAAATAGGGAACCCTTCTCACACCACTACTCTCGCTGTACTCGACCAGCGATTCTCGGGCCAACGCAAGAGCTCAGCGTCTCTGACCTGCAGAGACGTCAGTGAAAGCAAGACAGCCCAGGAGTCCATCCAGTGCTGTCCCAACGGCGCGGACCGGAGGGCGCGGACCGGAAGCCTGGAGGACACGGATGGAGCTGGGCGGCCTTCCTTCGCCTGTCGGGCGGGTCTGAGTCGAGTCTTAGATCCCCTGCAGCTGGCAGAGACTGGAACCCCACACCCCTCTGGCTTTCAGGGTCCAAAAACTCCTTCAATCATTTCGAGACCAAAGATCCAAAGGTGACCACACCAACTCGTACAAACGAATCACAGTGGCCCCTTTACTCAACGCCCGCACCCTTGAGCCAATACAAAGTGGACCAGCGTTGTTCCACAGGTCTCGAAATAAGAATCGAATAGAAACAATATGACTTCCCAGTGGCCTGCTGCATCAAAGTGGCTCGTGGCCTAGGCCGAAACACATCACAAAGACCTTTTGCGTGCTTCAATGCTTCAAAGAGAGCAACCATCATGAATCATCTATGTCTATGTGCCACAAAAGTCCCTGTGTTTGTATGTTGCTTGCTCTGTCCCCGAGGTCCTGACATGTCAGTGTTGCTTCGAGGTCCCTGGTTCTCCACCTTCACATCGACCGCGCAAGTCTTGGAGTCTCGACAGTCACTGGGACCCCGACATCATCATTGGAACTCGTCTGCAAAGGCCTCGCTTCCGGGAACCGATGGTCACAAAACCACTTGGGCCCAAAACAATCCCACAGAAAAAGACAACGTAGGTAGGTGGTCACCTGCGATCCACATGGTCTTCTTTGTTGAGACATGAAACCGCGAGGCATGCCCTGAGCTGCGTACGCGGAATGTCGGCGAGCCTGTGGCAGGAAACCAGCTTGGCTTGGCCGTAACGAGGCTACAGGAATCTTTCTACAGCAGGAACCGATTGGCTTGGCAGACATCCACCAAGCATGGCTCTAACACTCTAACTTTATGTCATGGTCATTCTCCTCAAAGGATGTCATGAAATGAGCTCATCTTGCGTGTCTTGCATGGCCTTGAACTCATCTGTGCTGGGATGAAGCACCTGAGGCTGAGAGAAAGCACAAAAAAGGTCCCGTGACCGTGACATGAAGCTTGGCTATATACTTTAATATCTTCATATCTCGAAATAGATAGATCTGGATCGTATCATGTGCTAGTCCTCAAGCTCTAGAGTCGACCTCCAAAAGGAGCCACTCCCAGTTTTCCGAGGTGAAACACCCCGAGCACGCCACCTGGGTCGACCGTGCAGCGTGCACCGCGGTCGACCCCGCGTGCGTCGGGACGGAAGACCTGCCGACGCCCGAGGGCTGAGGTGCTGGGCCGTGATGGGAATCGTCCAATAAATGTGTTTCGTCTATGCACGTGGGATGAAAGAAAGGTTGCTCTCTCTATGCGGTGTTTCGGTCGGTTTTGCTGGATGTTGATTGGTTCCGGCCTCCAGGCAACGGGGGCACATGTCGACTGCCTGGATGTTCGAACCACGCACCGCATGATTGTTTTACCAAGACTTTTTTTATGCCTCGTTTCTCTTTGTGTCCACAGCAGCTTCTTCTTCTTCTTCTTCTTCTTCTTCTTCTTCTTCTTCATGTTTTTGATTGGTGTTGATTCTCTTTTTGGACTGAATGGCTCTGCTCTGTATCAGCTGGATGAACTGGAAGGAAAACGGTGAATTCATGTTTCTCCCGACTTCCCAGCTCTGTCCATCGCCTGGATCGAATCGGCAGGGCTCGCACCAGCCCCGAGAAAGGTCGACCAGGCAGCTGCCTATCGACGCCGTCGTTCGACGCCCTCGCTTCGGCACCGAACAACGACCGATCGGAAGAAACTGGAGAAGCTGAGAAACCGACGGGGAAAGAAGAACTCTCGGAGTTCTAGGGGGTGTACCAAAGGTCAGCCTTGGTGCACACCGCTGCCACACCGCAGCGGTGTGCAGTACGCGATGCAGTACACCACATCAGCCACCGCCTGGGAGCGCTGCACTGGGATGGGCACAGAGACGGCTGTCGGCCACACGGGACCGCTGCGTGCGCCTCGTTACGTCATCCCACGGAATGCTGTCGTCTTCAGGACAAGACCAACCCTGGTAAGACTGAGATCAAGACCTGGACTCAGCGACCTAGACCTCCAAGCTTTGCGACCGAAAATTTGCCAGATCTTGATGCAACTTTATTGATGAAAACAGGTCTTGTTTTTCGAGAGATCGCAAACAGCCTGACTCTCCCTGATCTAAGCACACAGCACATATTGTACAGTCGATCTTTCTGTTCGTATGACCTGCAGCCAGTGTTCCCCACAACTCCTTGGCACCAACCTCAAACTGTTGATGTCAGCCCCCTCTTTTCAGAGACAAAGAAGAGCTATAACCAAGAGCCTATAATGTGTTTGATGCTTGTTTAGTTTCGGCCTTTCCAGGTGGCACAGCATAGCTCGCACTGGGCATGAAGCCTCACACGAAAGCATCGCAGTGTACCCCCATCGCATCACAGTTCATGGGCCGGAGAGGAGCAGAAGGAACAGGATCACAGAGTTGCAACCCACCAGAACGAGTAAGAACCCCAGGGGTTCTTAATACATACAGTACCTATGTTGAGTATGCTGGGGTTCCTAGTGACCAAAGTAGATAATATCCTGTGGTCCTGTTCTCCTTTATTTCAACAAAGGCCCATTCTTGGTCGACTCTTTGTCTGCGAAGTCCGCTCGGACCTCATGCAACGCTGGCACAGCGTGCCACGCTCGCCATGTATCGAGTGGTCGCTGAACTGTCAAAGGTGATGCGTCAAAGGCTGGTCACAGGCTTCAACCTGGTCTGACCATGTATCTCTTTTCTCTTAAGGTGGGAAAGCTGAAAAAGGCCTTACTGTGCAAAAAGGCGTCGATACGGAAAGCTCTGTGCGTAAGACCTGCGTGTGGCTTCTGAAATTCGCTTGGGCCAACGAAACATCGAGATTCCAAATGAAGTCATCACATGTCACAGCTCCCAATGGGCCTACCAGGATCCAATGCTTCATCGAAAGATGTGCAGCAAACAACTGCAGTCTCCCCAGTCTTCATGGACCCACGACCACATCTTCATCTGGGCTCATTGCCGCCTTCGAGCGATGGTACCTGAAACGTGAAGACTCCAGAGCCATGCAGTGGCCAGATCCAGTGGCCACACGCACAGCCATACATGGATTCCAACGGAACAGACCTCACCGTAGTTGCAGATCTCAAGGAACTCCGTTCGGTCGTCAACGTCCCCAGGGCTCACTCGCAGTGGAGTCGGTTGTTGTGAAGCGTCACCTCACCGTAGCACGAGGTCGCGAAAACGTGAACCAAGGGACGCAATGGAGGCTCACCGTAGCACAAACGGAGGAGTGAACCAATGGAGGCTCAACATGAGCCTCTGCGTTTCGACCCCAACTCGATGTTCCCTTTGGATGCGAAGACGGACCTTGAGATTCCTTCAAGCTCGGAGCTCGTCCAGAAAAGTGTGGAAAGAACTGGGGGCATGTATACACGTACGGAAGGTCCATCTTTGCGACGAAGCAAGGATGTGGGCCAACTTTGTTGCATCGTCGCTCTAATTTCTTCAAAGAGGGGTCTCCCCCAAAAAGCAGCCTTAAAAGAAAAACGGTCAACTGCTGGGGGTGATAAGTCGAGTGGCGAGACCACACAGCCCAAAACTCTCCTAACTGATCCCTTGACCTGGTAAATTACTGGGGGTTACCTGTGACAATTCCCCACTTCTACGCTAATACAGCCTTTCTCATCGGGCGCTGCCGCTTGCACTCCACTCGGCATCTTGAATTTTGCAGGAAGCACTGCACTGCTTTCAGAAAGGAATGATGAGGAGGAGGATGACGACGGTGATGAGGAGGATAATATATCATTGTGAGTGCTGCTATCTGAGTCTGAAGTGTTTTAATGCTGAACCAGGAACATTGTCTTCTAATTGCAGTACTCCTGGCAACGCTTTGATAATGAATTTGCTGTACACATCGTGCACGATCTCGTTGCAAATCTGCATTGGCTGGGTGAAATGCCTCCATATTGGAAGACAATCATCGCTGGGTCGAGACCTCACAGAATACCACCATAGGAGGCCTGCAGCTTCTTGGCATTCTCTCCTTGCAAAGGTGCGACTAGTGCACAGGTGCGACGCCATTTCAGTGCAAGCCTACCCAAGGAGTACATACCGGTACCCAGCCACTCATGCAAGCACTCGTGCTGCCGGGTGTCCGGTACAGTTTAAGGAAATCCACGGATGAGCCAAAACCTCTTCAAGTGTTAGCCGCTCACTTGGGTTCCTCAGAAAGCAGAAGACAGGAAAGGCATCAGGAAATAAGTTTGGAGAGTATCTGAAGTACATGTATGGCGTTCAGTTGATGCGTTATGTAGCCGCACTACATACCAGCTGAGACTCTTGTGGAGCAGCCTGGCGATAAGGTCCTTTGCTTCCTGCAAAAAGCCACTGACAACTTTGATATGCTTGTCATTGAGAGGTACAAAGAAATTGTATGATGCTTCAAGTCCCGTCCCTGGTCATCTGAGGAGGAAATTGGGGATTGCCCAACTTGATCTTGCGGTAGGTGCCCTTCTCACTCTGATCCTCCGCATGATACAACTGTTGCAACAGTGTCTCACACAGCAAAATTCATGCAAGTCCGTATATGTTCAATCAAACAATTGAGCATGCCCTCCAACCAGAGAGTTTTCCACCGGCATCATTCCACTTCCTCAAATGGAGGCTTTCCAACCATGAACTCATACAGCAGAACGCCAAGGCCCCAAATGTCCACTCGGCCTTTCGGCAGATCGCACAAATACTTCTGTGGCTTCAATGACTTCTTTACCAACAACTGGATGTATTCAAGAATAGTAATAACATGTATATAGTAACTTAGTATATAACCAATCAAGTGATAGGTCTGATAGGTGCAACCCGGCTGCTATGGTACTTCTTGTTGACCACCATCTCTGGTGGCAGGTAGTCCAAGGTTCCGCAAAAGGTCTCGCGCCGCGAACTCGGCGCATGAACTGCCCAGCCAAAGTCGGCAATCTTCAAGGTATCTTTCAGGCCAATGAGAATGTTCTCTGGCTTGATATCTCTATGAATGATGTGCTTGGAGTGGCAGTACTGGATGGCCTCTCAAAGGCAAAGGACATTGCCTTTGAACCTGAAAGAGTCATCGAAGGAAACAGCTTTGGCCTCCACCATCTGCTTGAAATACCATGCTGATCGCGCCTGTGGAGTTGGCACTCGTCATTGGCGCGATCAGGCTTCAATAAAATGTTACTAGACTATCTAGACTAATACTTTGTATGACATCTTCGTGGGTGTGTGTGTGTGCACACCCTTCAAGAATATGTACACAAGAGTGCAAGTCTCAATATAATATATAAGCTGTCGCCCGGCTGTCTTTTGGTATTTCGTCCTCTGCCTCCGAGAAGGTGCCACGGCTTTGCAACAAGCCATAGAGCTCCCCACCCGGCGCCATCTCGAGGCAAAGATAAACACGCTTCCTCGGCTGGACGCTTCGCTTGCGCGAAGCAACTGAGCAGCTAGCCCTTGGCTTCTCTTGGCCAGGCTTCTCCATGAATAAGCGAGAGAGTGGAGCAGACGTATCTTTACAGTTGCGAGAGGAAAAATGCAGCTGAGCAGCTCGTCATGGAAGAAAGTGTAAAGTCTAAGAATATTCACATGGCGACAGTGCGATTGAATCTCGATCTCCCGCCTCCGCAAGTTCCGATTTGTCACCAATTCACGCACAGCGTTCCACGCACCGCGTTCCATGCACCGCGTTCCACGCACCGCGTTCCGCACTTCACGGATCACCCGAGGCCTGAGCTGATGCTCCACACGATGCTTAATAAGCTGACGCTTGTCCAGTACTTTCAGGGCAAAGATGAAGCCTGGACAATTTCTGCCAGCGAAAAATCGCTGGACTTTCTGTTGGACCAAACATGACCAAACCATCTCGTCTTTTTCATCTTTTCCGTGGTTGTTCCTCTTTCTGCTCCTGTCTGGTCAATACAGAAGACGACACCGTTGGTGACGTGTCACCCGACACCGGAATAACCCACCTGTTCGCCGACAGCGAGCCACGTAGACGGAGCCGAACTTCCCGGCGCCCAAGCGCTTGCCGACGTCAATGTCCTCACGTCGCGTGGTCGTGTTGCTGCAAGGGAAGGCTGAGCAACCAGCTGAGCAAAAGATGACCACGAACAGCCATTCGCGCTTCTAAGCCCCCAGCATTCAGTGAAAACCACGGAATCTCTGTGCCAAGTGCCATGTCCTGGCGATGGGCGGTGCTTCGGGCTGTGCGGCTGTGCTTGACATTCCGATTGACCGACACACATCAGACAGAAGTCGTTCCCGCTGCTCCCACTGCGGTCATACGAGCCACAGTGATCCTTTTTGCGGTGCGGTCGTCTACAGCGTTCACCCCAAGGATCAGGGGTTGTTCCACCAGAAGAATGCTTGAATGTAGACAATGGATGAATAGGACTGGCGAACTTGTCTGCGACGGCAAGTAAGCAGTGGTCAGTGAGTTAAAGGGGACTGTTGATTTTAGTCAACACCCCCGGGCCCGATGTAAAACATAGTTCCGGGGGGGTTATTCATCAGTCTACACTGGGCCATCTCGCTGTCTTCACAGAGGATGTCGGATGTCTTTCATTGCATATTAGAGATCAATAAACAAATCGATGAAAGTCTTACATTTTGAACATGTATGCGAACATCGGGGGAAAAGAAATATATGTATATATATATATTATATATATACTACGCAGGGCTATATGTGCGTGGCTCTGGCCGGCAACGGGTCAAGTCAAACTAACCCAGGCCTCCGGTGGCGGCGGCGGCAGGTCTCGAGGACTCACCACTTCAAAGCCCTTCTCTCCTCCGAGGCGCGCGCGGTGCAACCGGGTGATCTGCGGCAGTCGGCCAGGTCATGCCGATCAATGCAGCTCAGGCTCCTTTTGCTTTGTCTCCCTGAAATGCTTGCAAGTACCGGTAACTTGCACATGGTACAATCATCCAAGTGATAGATGTACTTTGCATTGGTCGTCCAAGAAACGGAATCAGCCGGAGCAAGCAGAATGAAGGAGCGCTGAAATGTTCAACAGACTCACTCTGTGTGCAAAAAGTGTTGCCTTTCTGCAGCAGAGTTTCACTCTTGCGTCGCTTCACAGGAGGTGTATTCTCCTTTCCACCTTCCTGACAGGTCCATTTTGTGGGGAGCATTTGCGGGCAGGCACAACGCAAGACACAAGACACGACGCTGGAAGTGTCCAAAAATGTCCGGTGACACATCGTGACCCTGTGCAATCCGCAGAAGCAATCGCACTTCGCCTCCATACTGCTGGGGGGCACCTTCTGCACGTGCAGCCTGTCACAGAGGCGACAACTTGTGGTTGAAGATGAATACAAGCTTTGTGGAGCCTTGTGACAACTCGCTAACAAAAGTTGACGACGATGCTGCTGGGAACGCCCTTTACACATCATTGCACTGTCTGAAAACCCTTCACGGCATCCGCCCAGTCCTGCACCGAAATCCAGGTGCCAAGGTTTCAATGTAACTAACCCAACTACAGATTTGAACTTCAACAGCTACGGCACACATGTGGCACTTACGTGTCCCATGATTGAGGAGCGTATGCCCGTCTTTTCTAAGATGTCATGCTCATCAGAGCTTCTCAACCATTGCTTCCAATGTGCACGCTAACCAGAGTCATCAATCTGCCCCAAAAGATGGCTTGGGACAAGGCTGCGCCAGATTGAGAGGCGTGGAGAGCTGCCTTCGCATGCTCCGGACTCCAGAACCTCAGATGAATCTTGGCCCTCGGACTGATGGACCGCAACGACTGCATCCCGAGTTCCTGGCTTTATAAAGCCTGGCTCTGTTCGACGCAAATTTCGAGGAGGAATGAACACATAATCCACCTGCGTTCGCATGACAAGCACCAAGCACCAAGCAAGCCGTACACATGACATACTCACAGAGAGCATCGCATGAATTCCCAAAAGCAACCACATCCAGCTCGCTGCTTCGTGGAGACCACACCCCTCTCAGGTCTGCCTTGCCAAAGCGGTTGAAGAGGTCCTGGCATTCGACCGTTCGACACGGCCTTCAACAGGGCCGAACAATCGACGGGGATCGTGTCCATTCTCGATTCTCCTCCACCTCTGCACATTGGCAATCATCTGGCAAGCCATGAACCACATCCAGCTCACACATGGGTCCTATCGGCTGGGAAAGCGCATCGTTTTTTGTCACCACGCACGTGAGTTAGATATGTATGTATAATTATGTGTATATATATATATACACGTGGTTTCTCCAGGCAAACGGTGCAGGCCTCTGCGCAAGTCGACCAATCGACAAACACATCGCTAAATCGAAATCTGTCTGCTCTGTCGTTGCTGTTGGCGTGACTACACCACTTGGGGGTTTTCGGGCGAGCGCGGTGGCGCTCGATGACGGAGTCCGGGCATCCAACACATTCATGTGGATTGCTAGAAGCATCTAGCTTTTGAATAGCCATCACAATACGACGCACGCTTCACTCAAGGTGCTCGAAGTGAGCCAAAAATCTGTGAAATCCCAAGAACAGTTGGGAACAGGCGATGTCTCTCGGACCAACGTGTGTGGTTGGCAAAGTATCGAGGACAAAATGGATCAAACGTGATCAAGTTGAGAACATCTCTCGCTTCTTTTCTCTAAGCCACCCATGGCACCGGTCGATCTCGTATCCAAAGATTTAACGCGATCTTCTGGGCTGCATCTTCTGCATCTTCTGCGCGCTTCACCTGACAGGTCAGCTGAAGCGACCCATGGCACCGGTCGCCTTTGTGTTTTGGCGAGGGCCGCTGTTTCCCGGGTCGCCGGACCACCGTGGGACTCCCAGTGTTCCTTTCGGTTCGTTTTCGTCGATTCCTTCGCAAGCTGTGCGTCTCTCATGTCGGGTTTAGGGCCAGCCTGCAAAGGCTCTGCTGCATGCTCCGTCTCCATGAGAGGCATGCCGTTGACAGAAACATTCGGCCAAGCGCAAGCCGCTCCTTTGACAGGAACGATTCTCAGCCCTTCTTGCTGTTTTCTCGAAGTGAGGTGAGGAAAGTGGGTACAACCTCCCACACAGCTTTGTGGGATGTCTGTCAGGTACACCAACACCGTCGCCACACGCTGGCCAGCAATGAACAAAGAGGCATCACCACCGTGTCCCCAGTCAACGTGCGGCTTGTACAACCTAAGCGGGGCCAAGCACGGCAAAGCTATTTCTATCCATTTCTCTTCAGTTCCCCTAAGTGAGAGCCCGGCTGTCCCGGGCTGTACCGTACCTGACAGGAAAACATGACAGAAAGGCGTGACAGGCTTGAGACTGAAACTGGTAAAGCTGCTTAATTACCTCATCTGGATCTACACCAGCACCCAAACATTACGGTATACAGGAAAAGAAAAAAAGACCTTCCGTCCATTTCGTTCCATTTCAGGGCACCAGTTGTGGGGGCTCCGCGTATTGCGGAGCCAAGCCCACCAGCGCCGCGGCCCGTCCTCGCAGCCTCTGCACCCACGGCCCCGAGGACAAGACCAGGCTCTCCGAGCTGCGGACCTCGAGACCGCGGAGACGGTCGGACGGGTGGCCGAAGCAGGGAGAGGCCGAGGGTCGACCGGAATCGTGTTGTCTGTGTGTGATTTTTTTAAACGTCTATATAAGCTGGTGCGTCTTTCGACTCGAGCCACCATTGGACCAAGAAAAAGAAAGTCTATATAAATAGTCTATACAGATCTATACATCACTGGAGTCTAGCGGGGAGAGTGTCTAGAAAAAAGGGCTTCAGAATACCATGGTATATCCATGCACACGTGCAGGATATGCAAACAGCTTGGTGAGCAGGACTTATTGTAGACCCCTTGTCGCTGGGGGGGAACCAGTCGTTGGGTCCCACGGCTACTTCCCCCCCATCGGATGAGACCCAACTGCCCCAGCGGATTGAGTCGAGCAACCCCAAGCTCAGAGTTCAATGAGCTGTGAGAAGGTGGGGCAAACATCTGCACAACTATTTCCAATTGGTCATATGATGTCGTATGATATGTCAAGTAGCGGCCCATGAACCTTATTGCTGTGGGCCAATCAGGTAACACTAGCGTAAGTGCCAGAGTCCTAGTTCAACTCGGAGTTCCCTGAGCTTCTGCTCTTGACAGGATGGGAGGTTGCCGAAGTCAGGTTCTTCAACTTGCTGCGCTTCCAACAACGGTGCGTTATTTTCCGAGAGCAACGGGACCCCGGACGGCAGCATCCCCATGAGTGGCTAAGGGGGATGGATTCCAGAAAGCATCCTGGAGAGGTTGAAAACTATGCATGCCTGCTTACCCACATCACTGACAGTCACAGCTGTGACGCGATCTGTGCGAATGCGTGCCTACGGTCCTTGGCTTCAAGTAAAATCTCTGTGATCTCTTCTTCTGCCAACCACTGTGGCAGCCAAAGCAAAGGAAAAGGGGACGAAGCCACGCCTCAAAATCAGAGGCAAAAGTCCTCTGGCGTCGCCCTCCGTTTTCGCTTGTGACGGTGAAGGTCTAGCAGATCCGTCTGAGCGTGTTGGTCTCAGCTAGCGACTCACTGCCGGAAAGCTTTGTCCAGCAGATCCGTCTGCCAGCTGGTTCAAGGCCTGACCAGTGACCAGAAAAAAAGACGGCCTTTTGTGACCTGCTGGTGTTGCGATCTGGTACTGTGCTGTGTAGATCACTGGTGCACCGACTCAACCCAAAATCGAACCTGCCAAACTGCTTGACTATGTATCTGTGAAGCCGTCATCGGTGGCTGGCCAAAGACCTGCCAATGGTGGAATTGCGCGACGTACACGAAACACCTGCACCGGCCATGCCGGCGAGATGAATTCCGGAGTAAACGCAACACCTCAACTATCCTCAACTCCTGTTTCTAGCCATGCTCCCGGCTGGATTGGTGTTCACTGTTCAAGTGGATGTTCACTTCCTACGTTTGTGCCCGCCATGCCTCTTCATGCGGCCTCCCAGCAGCTGCACACATGCACGCAAGGGCATTCCAAACATCAGCCTCGCCCTGACGGACCCGATCCCATCGGCTCAGCTCGCACTGAAAAGAAAAGGAATTGAAAAAAAAGAAAGGGGGGAGTGCGCCTCCCTAGGCGCCCCTTCCCCCCACAGGCCGTGAAAACCGGGACTCGACTCGGGACGAACCAATCCGAACGGTCGGGTCGGGTCGGGGAGGAGTGCTTCAGGTCGGTTCAGGACTTTATTGCTTCTCCATCGATGGGGTCCGTCGCCTGGACCGGGGTCCGTCCGGTCCCGACCAGTCCTGCATCTGGGATCCCAGTCGTGAAGCTGCGGAACGAGCAACTGCATCTGCTATGTTCCGCGCCTTTCGAAGGCTTAGCTGAACAAGAATGTCAAAACTACAAAGCCTTAGTTGAAAGTCGAAAATACAGTGAAGATCATTGAACAACCAATTGTAGAACATGGTTGATGAAAAGACTAGTTACTAGTTGACTGCTGATTAACATGGCATCCTATATTGGACGTTCAGCATTCAAAAACATTAAGTACTTCCCAGCTGCATGTGACTGCCGAACATGCGCACATGTTCATGCTAACAAATTCGTGTTACACGAGTTTGATAGCTTGATTGATTGCTTGCTTGCTTGCTTGCTTGATTGATTGATTGAGTAGATCTTCGTACATTGCAACTGATTGTGTGTGGTGGCAACGACACGAAGAGCCCTTTTGGGGTGCTCACAGCCAAGCAAGTATCCACAATGGTACAAGCCCAAAGAGTCTCCAGTGACTCCAGGTGCAACACCCACTGACTTCAGATGGTCGCATGTGAAACGTGATCGGCTTGAAGCAATGCCTCACATGGCATGAAGCATCGACCTCAAGTCCTCCCCCTTGCATGATGGGCTCAATTGACACATTCATTGACATGTCCTTGCTTGCAATGCTGGGAAACTTGTGGCACCTTGTCCCTTGATGCCTAGCACTGTTGGGACTGGGCACCCATTCTATTCCCTCGCAGCCTTCTGCCGCGATGCATGCAGCCTTGCAGTCTGCGAGAGAAGAATCACCAGCAGGCATGGGATCTCCTCGAACATCAACTCCGTTTTGATCCCTGCATGACTGATCAAAGGTGGCAAAAGTGTTCCGGCAGCCGTTTCTGATGTAGCATTGAGCACCACGGTATCTTCCTCCTCCCTGCATGATTGGATTGGTTGACGTGCCAGTACTCTGCGTGCCAGGGTATTTGTGGCAATCCATTCCATCATGCCCTTCCGTGTCGGGATACCATTCTATGCCATCACAATCATCCATTGCTGCACATGCCTCCTTGCAGGCTTCCAGTGTAGAAGCTGGTAATGGATCTGCAGGGACATCAATCCCTGCAAAGTCCCTGCAATAACCCTCGAAATGTGTAAACTCGGCTGTTATGAAGCAATGCCGCACGTGGCATTCACCATCTCGATAACTTCCTCCTCCTTGCAGAATCGGGTTGTCTGCTGTGCGTGGCCACCCATCAAAATTTGGAACAGGATTTGTTGCTGGAAACTTGTGGCACTTCACATCTGAGTATGCGTAGCCGTAGGTTTCATCGTACCATTCTATTCCCACGCAGGCTTCTGTAGCGATGCATGCAGCCTTGCAGTCTGCGAGAGAAGAATCACCAGCAGGCATGGGATCTCCTCGAACATCAACTCCGTTTTGATCCCTGCATGACTGATCAAAGGTGGCAAAAGTGTTCCGGCAGCCGTTTCTGATGTAGCATTGAGCATCACGGTATCTTCCTCCTCCCTGCATGATTGGATTGGTTGACGTGCCAGTACTCTGCGTGCCAGGGTATTTGTGGCAATCCATTCCATCATGCCCTTCCGTGTCGGGATACCATTCTATGCCATCACAATCATCCATTGCTGCACATGCCTCCTTGCAGGCTTCCAGTGTAGAAGCTGGTAACGGATCTGCAGCGACGTCAACCCCTGCAAAGTCTCTGCAATATCCCTGGAAATGTGTAAATCCTCCTGTCGTGTAAACAGGGCTGTCTGCAAAAGCACACAGAAAAGAGGTCTGTGCGACAACGGCAACTCTTGCTGCGGCCATGCATGAAGCAATCCAGGTGATCACAACGACCTAACTACCGTCTGAAAAGCATGCAAACAATAAATACAAACAGTTCGTAGAGTCATGTGCACTTTGGAGAAGGTGTTCACCAAGGTTAGCTTAACCCACCACCCAAATGATCTTCCGCCGACTCTAACAGGAAAAGGAAGTTGTCATTGTTGAAGTTTTCTCATCACGAAGTTTGCTGAAGTAGCATCCGTTGTTGTCATTTTCCACTTGAGTTTGAATGCTGCAACGGCATAGGTCAAAGGGTGTTCCGGTGTTCCCGAGAAGCCACGGCAACCAATCCGCCCCGGCCTCCTGATCGGAAGAGCCTGCCAAGCGGCAAGCAAAAGTTACCCTTCGCCAAACGAAAGAGAAACAAACATCAGTTATATACCCCATGCCATATTTCTGGAGTCCAAAACGCTGTGTCAATGCAACAATAGACTCTGCGTCCACAGCTTCCAGGGTTCTGGACAGGGCCAAAATGAACGGCACTCTGTGCTGGGCCATTAGTTTGCTCTGAGGGAAACAATAGTTATACCAGCATAAACACCAAACCGTTTCAGCATCATGTTTTTTTTCTTCATTTCCTGGAATTCAATCGTTGGTTGAAAAGTCTGCAACTATATTCCTATGGCCTCCAGCTGTTTGGGGACAGCATGTAAACAAAAAGGGCCCGCGGCACCCTCCGAACAAAGCCTGGAAAGGGCCCAGACAAGGCGGAGAAGACCAGAAAACCCACGACGCGGCGAATCACGAAGGAGATACAGACCCGGACAGCGCGGTGGTCAGGAAGGGCGGACAGCGCGGGCGCGGCCATCGTGGCCAATCCACACAGTAAACTGTTTTTGGGAACTGCTGCTGGGCAAGCGTCCGAACGCTCCTAGTAGCGATGCCAGGAGCCCTGTTCGTAGCGTCCTGAGCCCCTAGTAGCTTCTTTGCAATTGATGTTTTGGGGAACTGTAGGATGCAAAAGGATTCACCAGCCGCCTGCCATGATGGCTTGTGCGACCTGTAGCAAAGCCCAGAGTCCATCCCTGACACGGGATGTCAAATCGGACTCAGACTCAAGCTCCATCGGTCCATCATCCATTGCCTTCGAATGCATCATGTGCAATTGTGCATGTCTTTATCTCCTCCCTTTCTGTCAGTTCACCTTTCGGCAACCAAGCAAAGTCTGGCCTTGGCAATTTGTGCGCAGTGACCAGGTCTTTCTTTCAAGTGACTTGTAGGAGTTGAACAATCTCCAACAGGAGAGAGTAATTGATGTAGACTCTTGATGAAGAAAAAAGACTTTTGTGGTGTGGTTTTACAATCCGTGTCTGGGCGGTTGAATTATCATCAAAGGTCTACCTTCGACTCAATCGTCTCCACTCTGCTCCGCTTTCTTCAGGCCCGAACGCCAAGAGTCGAGTTGGCCAAGTGCGCCTCGTGCAAAACGTCCGAGTCCTTTTGAATCAGAAAGTATACATATGTATGTTTGCATATATATATATATATGTGTGTGTACAAGTTCCCCACACACTAAGGGTTCTTACGGTACTAGAAAAGCAGCTGATTCTTAGATCACTGAAGCGCGCGGGCGTGACCGGCTAATTCGCTGCTAGTTGCAGTGCATTCATGCCTCTCGACATCGTCAATGCGCATTTCGACTGCGCAGGCTCGCCAAGTCTCGGGTGCTTCTAGCGACTGCGCTCTCGTTGTGGTGCCGCGCGCATTTTCGCACATGGTGGTGACTTCTCGGAAACTGCTCCAAAGTCGACTTTCCGTGACCGGCCCAAGGGATCCGAGCGGTTTTACTTCGAAATGCAGTTTTCGTGGCAGGTGCAGCACTTTGGACATGGTGGTGATCAGATTTCGTGACAGGTGCAGTGAATCGTGACTTTTGGACATGTGGCTCGTTTGCAGATTTCGTGGCAGCACAGCACTCTGTGACCCTCGATGTGCAGATTTCGTGGCAGGTGCAGTACTTTGTGAACCTCGAAGTGCAGATTTCGTGGCAGGCGCAGCACTTTGTGAACCTCCATGTGCAGATTTCGTGGCAGGCACAGCACTTGGTGAACCTCGAAGTGCAGATTTCAGCGCAGGCTCACTCTCACTCTCACTCTCTCACTCACTCACCACCTTCACTCTCACTCACACTCACTCTCACTCACACTCACTCTCACCCACACCCACTCTCACTCACACTCACTCTCACTCTCACTCACACTCGCACTCACACTCACACTCACTCACTCTCACTCACTCTCCCACACTCTCACTCTCACTCTCACTCTCACTCTCACTCACACTCACTATTCCCCACCACCGCCACCGTCACCACGATCCCCACCTTCATCACCATCACCTCTCTGGACCCCAATGCGTCTAGATCTCTAGACTTTCTGCTTATAGACCTCACACACACTGTTTGGGGTCTCTTGCCGGGATAATATATGTTGTTTAAACGAATACACAATGTGTTAGTGTTGTGTATATATATATATACAAATATTTTACAGTGGTTTTCATGTTGTTACTTGGTTGTTGGATTATATTCGTTCAACGCGGCAGTGACACCACCCACGGTCGCCACGGTTGACCGATCAGCGCCTCGCAGCTGGTGGCATGGAATCCTGCGAGGTCGAGCGGCCCGGCGGCGGCCCACTGGCCGTCCATCCATTTGGGTGTGTAGTTTCAAGAGGCAGACCCTCTGGCCCTGGCTGGGTAGACTTTTAAGGGGGTTGAAAAAAAAGGAGGTCTCCCCCAAAAGAATAGTTTTATTCCTCATCCGTTTGAGGATTTGGGACGTAGCTTAACTTGGATTCTGCGAAGCTTGGCCAAGTCCTTGGCATTGACGCTCAGGCTGCTCAGCTTGCAGCATCTCCGCCATGCTTTCTCTAGTCAAACGACATGCTTGTCCAGGAGTCTAAAGAATGGGGCGCGAATCTCAAGGACCGGAAATTGCACTAAGTCCTTGAGAGATCCTTCGTTGCCACACAGAATTGCAGTTGCCTTTTCTGATTGTGTTCCTGCCATGTGCTAAGCGCTTCAAGGCAACAGAAGGAGAAACTCTGCAACAGTCTCGATCGACTAGACTGGCTCAAGAAGAGCACACACGCAACTGCATGCTCTTTAAACCTCTTTTGCTCCAGATCAAGGCGTTCAGGCATGATCGTCATGTCATCCTGGGCATTCAGTCTGGAAGACAACCCCACTCCACAAACAACCACATGGGTCTGGTCCGAACGAACCAAAACCCTTCGTTGTAGAAGAATGGTCTGCAAATGTTACGTCCAAAGTCCATGTGTTGCAACTTCCGACTCTGGTGGATTGGCACAATCCTCAGACTCTGGTGGCTTTCCAACAAGGATCCCATCCAAAAGCCAACATCGTTTTCGCGGACCCCGCCACGTCGACCTCCGACCAGGACCGGCTGAGCTTCCGACCCTTCGGAGCAGCAACGAAGGGGGAGAGTCTCCCAAGTCGTCCTGGTGGCGAAGTCAGTCGTCCGCGTTCGACGCCTTCCAAGTGGGAGAGTGAGTCTTCCAAGTCTTTGGGCAACTGACATGAGGCCTCGCAGGTCCGTCGACTCCTATCCACAAAGACGATGCGATGCCGGTGAAGCCAATTCCGAGAACACCACGAACCGTCGGAGATGAAGACCCACTGGCTGCTGTACATCTTGTCCCGCAGAGTGGGATGTCCAATGTGCGCCAAATGACTCCTGATCTGATGCTTGCGCCCCGTGAGAATCTTCACCAGCAACAAGCTGAAGCTGGTCACACCACCCAGGTACCCTGAGACGCTCAGCGCTGTTCTGCTGAGTTTTCCACGTCCTCCCGACCGCGTGGGCTGGTCCCTCAGGCTGCAGGTGCTCGCATCGACGTGTTGGACGGAGGTGGGAAGCCAGCCATGGCAAAGGACGGAATACTCACGAGAGATCTCGCCACTGTGTAGCTGGACTTGGAGGTCATAGAAGGCTTCATATGTTCGTGCCTCTAAGATCAGCCCTGAGCTGGGCACGTCCAGTCGGTGCAGAAAGCCAAAGTTGTGTTTTTCGTCTCTCAAAATGGGGATGGTCTCTTTGGATGCTTCCAAACTGATGACATAATCCTTTAACTGACGGAGTCCTCCGTGTCCTCCAAAAACCTCCCACCCCGCAGGCTTCATCCAAACACACCGATCCTCCAGCCGCGCCGCCGTCTCGCTCGACGCTGCCAGGAACGGCGTGTAGGTCTCACGCCGCGCAGTGTCGAGGCGTCGGCCCTGGTGGCGCAGGGAGGCCGAGGCACTTCGTCGTAAACGGGAGGAAGGACAGCCAGCCATGGTGCAGGAAAACAAGATCGACAGCAGCTCCTGCCCTTGGAAGTCCGAGTCCAGCACTGGCATTCTTGGGGTCCTGTCGATGGAGTCACTTCGCTGAATCCACTGCTCCGCGGCGTTTTGGGCTGCAAGCTGGAAACGAGTGGAGCAAGCTGAAAGGTCCCCAGACAAGCCCACAAGGGCCATGCTGAGATCTTCGAGGCCAAATTCGGAGATGTGCTCGAGAGCGGCTGATGCTAAAAAGCTGTGCCTGCAGCGGAGACCTAGGGTCGTTGCTGACCACAAACAGCGCGCCAAGTCACTTGCAAGAGTTGTGGCACCGAGAGTTCTTCTCAGTGCTAGATTAGTTTCTAGATGCGACACTGCGTCTGCGAAGGCATTGTGGATGACTTCAGGTTCAGAAATGCTCAGTGTGGCCAAGCTCCACAAAAAGGAGATGGGATCTCTAAGAAAGGCAGACTCCAATAACAGTTCCATCGCCAAATCTTCATTGCCCAAACATGCCAGCATCACTGAGTCCCACGAGACAACAGATGGTAGAATCAAGCTACTGGACATGGAGTGTACCAGGTCCAAAGCAACTAGCCATTGTAGCCCAGCCCCACACGTATTTATGGCTGTGTTGTACAAAACCTCATTAGCCTGTAGCTTCTTGTCCAAGGCATCTGCAAACAAACCAAGAACCTGATCCCATTGGCTTCCTTCAAAGGCAACCATGGCAGATGCAAATGTAATCACATCCACTTTGCGGCCATCCATTTCCCCAGAACCAAGAAGACTTAAAGCTCGTCTCCACTGCCCGCTTTGCCCAAGAGACTTCATCACTGCATTAAAGGTAACTCCATCTTCTTTCAAGCCAAGCCGTGCGAGCCGCTCCCAAAGAATAAAAGCAAGCTCCCACCTTCCACACTTGGCGCATGCACTAATGGCAGTGTTATATGTGACAACATCCACCTGTACTCTCTGCTGTTCGCTTTGGCAAAGCAAGCATAAGGCGATCTCCCATTGGTTTCCCTGTTCACAAGCACTTAGAACTGTCGTTAGCAACTCAACATTGCATGTTCGTTGCCTATTCAACGAAAGGACTTGGACTGCACGTGTCCATTCAGAAGCTTTTCCAGTTGAACTCGCCAAAGCTTGGCAAGTGCGTGAGTTGCTCTGTAGCTTGGCATTCTCTAAGTGACTCAGCTGCTGCAACGCAAGTTGCCACCTCCAACCCCTTTGTTGCTCCGCAACGGATAAGCTCGTGTTGTAAATCACCATGTTGGCCTCAATCTGGCGCAGTCGCATCTCGTGAAACAAGGATTGCTGCCAAACACTCAAGCAACTCGTGGCGATGCCATAAGAAACTGCGTTGCCCTGGATGCTGCAGATCCATGCCGACTCAAGCAAGCAGAGTGCATGTTGCCAGTTCCCAAGCCTCCCACAGCTCATCCCAGCACTAAAAGAGATGATGTCTGCCTGCAAATTCTCACAACTCAATTTGTGCATCAACGAGAGACCGCGTTGCCATCCATCCAGGGTGTTGCAAGCACTTTCGCATGAGTTATAAATGATTGCGTTGGCTTGAACTGCCTTCTGCGCCAACCCTGCAACCAAAAACAAGCCATGTTGCCACTGACGGCTTGTAGCATCAGCGGCAAGCACAACTCCGACTCCGCGAATATGTTCTAAGGACATGTTCCTTGAGTCAAAGAATTGCATAATACTCAAAGAATGATAAAACACTTGGTATCCACAGGCACACTCAATAAACACGCCGAAACCGACAAGCCACACACCTGTCCTCAAGTTGGTTGAATTTCGTCAAATTCTGAGCCCTTGTCATCAGTTGGGATTCAAGAAACAAATGTGTCATTGGTGGACCAATTCAACTGGTATACTTTGTTACTACCTGTTACATACCTCCAACTACAATGGTGGGACACTGTTATAGATACCAAAAGTGTAGTAGGTGGGGGTCTTGTACTGCCATAGTCGAAATCACCCATCGTCCTGAAGAGGCCGTCATATCACAAATGTCACAGTCAGGTTCTAAGCTGTCGCCTGGTTCTGGCCACTACGGATCTACCCAATTTGGATCGATACTTCTTTGGATCTATCATGATTCCATAAGATTGTCAGTCGTTTCTACTGTTTAAGATGTACAGTGTCAGTCCTGTATATACATTGATTCATTGATGTTGTCTGGGTTTCAATCGCTTGGGAAGGACAGTAATGTTGCGAGGGTGATCTTACTATGAAATAGCTCCCACCCACCCGCTTCCAAGAGGTCCAGTATGTTGCAAGCCATGAAACAGGGCTTTCAAAGAAAGGTGCAGGCCTGCTTGATATTCCTATGGATTCCCAAAAAATGGATCTCAAACACGACCCATCCTAGACGTGCGACTCGCCAAGTGCCAAGACGGGCAGCCGATTGGAAGCCTGGAAGAAATCCTTTTTCTCTCTGCTCCAGTCGCTGTTGCGACTGCAGAGGTGCTGGGCAGTCGCATCAGTGCCACATCAGTGCGGTTCTAAATAGGGCGGCGTGCGAGTTCTAAATCCTTGCACTCGGCACATGATGTATCACTGCTGACTGCACAAGTCGGTCTTTCAAGAGTAGCCGCGACCACTTTTTGGCCCCTACACAAGCTGGTAGTGCAGAAGAGAACGGGTTTTTGACGAGCTTTCTTCACGAAGCCAATCACAAGTGTTCAATTGAAGTGACTGAAGCCCTTTTGGTACAGTATGCTGCCTAAGAGCTTCTATGTTGGACCCCTTAGGAACACAATAGCATTGCAAAAACCATATGCAAAACCCAACGGATTCTGTGTCAATTCGGTGGTAGAACCCAACGGATTCTGCACCTCACCAGCAACAGTTCGTCGCTGGTTCGGTGCTCCAGACTCCTTTCGACTCTCTTTCTCCACCAGGAGCGTTCGGCTTCGGGCCGTTCATCTGTGAACAACTTCAGTCCGCCAGTCCATCACTGTGGCTTTACCTCCTCAAACTTGGAGCTGGAGTTGCTCGAAGGACCAGTGCTGCCGCTGGAGCTCTCGGGACTGCTCTCGGTGTCCTCCGGCACCGCGTGGTGCGCATGGTCGGGCGAACGCTGCGGAGACCGACCCCCGAGATCTCGGTCCTTAGAAGTCTTGGCCGTCTCCTCAACCTGTTTGGAACTGAATCTGTGGGGCTCCACGCATGCTTGTCACGGCCGGAAAGCAAGCTGGTTTCATCTGAAGTGTCCAAAACCAGAGTTCCATCGGAATCTACAAGAACTGTACAAAGACTTGAATCTGTTTTGAGTCACCCCGGTTCATGTCTCGCCTTGGGCTCGCTGCTTCGATACTCGCCTTTGGCCTCGGCAAACGGCCTAACTCCGTTTGAAAGCGACTGCTGTTCTGATGTGCACGGACTGCTGCTCTGCAAAATACGTAGGGTCTACACTCCCTGAAATAGTCGTTCAAGTGGAAAAGCCTCTGTTTGTAGAGAAAAACGGTGATCATCCGATGTTTCAGGGAGCGTAAACCCTGTGTCTATGTCGTATAATTAACTTTCTTATGCTTCATCTTGAAAGGTTTCTTGCGGTGCTCACATTGACTCTACGGTCTCGCGCATAGTCATAGCCAGCTCCCTGGTAGACAAACATCTCCAGAACCTGCAACGGGAATCCGTTAAGGAAACGGCACAACGCTCCTTGTTTGAACGAACGAGCAACGGCTGTCTTTTGTGCCAATCCAATTTTGATCCGACTCAAACAGCTTTGTTTTTGGTGTAAGGAAACGACATCCTCCACCCGCCTTGTTTAGCCTGGACATCAAAACGCGTGGATCATCCAATGTGCCAGCAGCGATGCAAGCGTTGTCGTACAACTGCTCCACCTCAAAAAAGCATCCACTTCGCATTCGGGGCCAGGGCGGCGTTTTCGTGGACCACTCGGAAGCCAACTGCTATCCTTGCCACTGGCTCGTTGGACTCCAAAATCACTTGGAGCCTCACAAGTGAGAAAAGCTTTACAAAACTTCAGCACCTTTGAGGAAAGCTCCAACAAATCTCAACCTGGCATGGGATTTGGGGGAAGCAAAAAATGCGTGGCATGGCTTCACAGCCAATTTGGCCTGATTCTACACGCGGCATAGCAGCGCAGCTTCCGATCGCGGCTCCCAATCGCGTCGGGCTGGGGGCACCGACGTGGTGACGATGTGGTGCTTTGGGCTGAGCTCCAGTGTCATGGGGATGTTGTTACTCAGCAGTGTCAGCAGTGTGTCATGCAGCTGCAGCTGATCAGATCGATATTATGCATCAGACTTGGAATCTGATGTTGAAAATCACAGGCTGGTGAGATCCAATCACTCTCACCTGCTTTTGCAGTAATGAAAAACTCTCTTGGTTCCCAACAAGCCATCGTTTTCCTGCACAAGCTCCACCAAGGAAACTACAAAGAACGAAATCGGCCTTTGAAGCATCTACTAGCGAAAAAGAACTCGGAGCTCCTTTCCAGCCATTAAGCTTTTCATCATCTTGCGCATATGCGGGGTGATGATGCTGGTCCTGATTTCTGCACTCCGTTGCGGTGCCGACTCATGCTCTTCATGGCAGCCAAGCCAGTTCTGCTCTAGTTATCTATATAAAGCTACTCTTAAGCACGTAAGCCAGCATCTCACTAGACACCGAATGTAGCGAGCCAGATGTTCACCAACCGCTGGCGGGCTCCCCACACAATGGCTGGCGAGCTCACCAAACGATCCGAAAACTTCACCTCTTGCACCTCCCAAACGGGCGAAGCGACTCTTCGGACGGCCAACGGGCGGTGAAGCGTTTCACAGCTGTGAAACAGCTGGATAAACAATCGATAACAGCATGATCATGGTGAATACCTGGGGATCTGGGGGAGACAGTCGGGAAAGGTGACAGTCAGCACCAGCAGCAAAAAGCAAGAACACAAGATTGTCATTGCGCCTTCTCCTTCAAGACACTTTTGATGAACTTCTGCATCTGTGTTTGTTCCTCTTCGGTGAGAACACGCTTGTCCTGAGCATGGGTGCAGTGAGAACACTTTCGGGTTGCCATCCAAGCGAGAAGTTCGACCGCTGTCGCCTTGCGACCGCTTGCGCCAGCGGCGTCGAAACAACGTGGTCAGCATTCGCACCACCCGAAGGGGCCAGGGGCCAGGGGGGGGTTGGACCGGACCTTGCGCATCTTAGACCCGGAAGGATTGCACAGGTCTGCAGTGGCTTGGCAGTGCCAAGCGTCGGTATCTTCAGGTTCTTCAGGCTTGTCCAAGTCTAGCCTCGGGCGCCCGAGTCGCCAATCAGACATGCACTGAAGCACCCGAGTCAGCAAGTGTGCAAACAGGGCAGAATGGGGTTGACGCTCGAAATTCTTGTCGGCGGAATCCACGGAAACAAACTTCTTGTCCTCTGGAAAGGTCTATTTTTTACTCAAATGTTGTCCAAAAGTTACGTTGTCCTTGAAGCCTTCGATGGCATTGACCTCCATCGAGGGCGGGGAGGTGTCAAATCACAAAGGATGTCTTGCGCCACATCTCCCTTTGCCACATCTGTCAAAGAAACATGCCAGCACTGCAACAAATTCATCGATGTCTTCGTACATCAGAATGACATTGCGCCTTCCGCAATCAAACCATTCAGCTTGAATTTCAGGATACCGGCGACCAAAAGGCGTCTTAGTTGGCGACTGTCGCTGGAGAAACCTCAATTTATTTCAAGCTGAAGATGCCCAAGCGAGACGTCACTCTGGGGGTCTCTGAAGATGTTGAGAAAAGCCCATGTTCATTCTCCTTCTGCAAAGACCGAGAAGCTGCTCCATATACGGAGAAGACAGGCCCGTCTGGCGGTCGGGACCTCGGTTTCGTGAATGGCCCATGCTGCAGAAGATTCCAAGGCAATGGCAAGTGGCAGGTGAAATAGTAGATGTTCTGCTGGCCATCCTTTGCCATCTCAATGTACTCCTGCTTCCCATGTGCCAAATTGGCATGCAGTCTGGAAAAGACTCTGCCAAGCGGGATGTCCCTCCTCCAGGGAAATCAGCTCACCTTTTCCCTTGTTGGAGCACCTGACTGCAAAGGAACAAAGGACTGCTTTTGCTCAAAAGGGCTTTCCACCTTCAAGTCCTATTTTCCGACTTGTGACTGGGTGTCCAGCTCAAAGCGAAGCAGTTTGAGCAAGTCGTCTTTGTGGCCTTTCCGCTCGCCGTGCGCGCGCTCGCTGCACGGAGCGCACGTCCACCGGAAGGGGCCGGACGGCTGAAGTTACCCTCTTTGTCTTCTATGAGGCCAGCCTCACAAGCGTCACAGGCGCTGAAAAAGAAGCGTTCTGAGTTGCCCAGCCTTCAGAAAGTAAGAGTAGCCTCTGAAGAACTTCTGATATTTTTCAGGATCCTTCTTTGCCTTGGCAAAACCGCATTCACATGCACACAACCCACACCGCATTCACATCGGACGTCCACCAAATCCAGATCCAGCTTGGCCTCCTGTTGGAGAAATCTCAGAATCCGCCTCACCACAGCCATGCTCAACCTCAGCGGCGGCTGCGGTTGAGGACGGGTGGTCGCCTCTCCCAAGTAACAAGCTGGTAGTAGCCTCAAAACTTCAAAAAGCTTCTTTTGAGATGAGATTTGTGTTGATCAGGGGTAGGGGTGGTAGAACTCTGATGTGACGATTGCAAGCTGCAATGTTTAAGTGCACTGTGTCTTGCAACCCCGAACTGCCTCAGTGCGCACCCCGAAGATGAAGTTTTTCTTTGCCAGAAAACAGTTCAGTCGTAGACATCTTCAACATACTGGGATTCTGGCTTCTCCATTAAGCGTGTATCCTGCATGCTCTCCCGACTAATGTTCCTCGGCGTAGCAAGGGTCACGCAGCCAACTAGTAACTAGTGGACGTTGGCTAAGAGGAGTTCATGGGCATGTCCTCACAATCGACAATGCCCTGGCAGGAGACCGACGGACACTAGGGAGACAGGTGTGGCTTCTGACAAACAGCTGCTGATTGATTCTCCGAAAACGCCTTCATCCAATGCAGCCACTTTGGAATCACACCATCGGCATGCTTCTTCACCATCACCCGTCGAGAATGCAAAGAGATCTGAGCATGTACGCAGTCAGCTCGCCCGTCAGCTTCCAGTGAACGATGAACAAGATGAACTGGGTGCCCTGCACCAATTTCTGGATCTTTGGTGAACATACGGCTTGGCGCGTTGTCAGGATCCGGGATATAAAAGCAACCTCGGCCAAGCAAGTGCTTGGCATGTTTTGTGAAAGCTTGCCAAACGTGAGCTCCTGGATGTTTTGCTGATGTGAGCTCCAGTTGCCGAAACAATGGACATCCCTACTGCACCTTGTTCTGGGTCCAAGCGGCTTTTGATGGAGAGAGGGGCATCGGTTTGGTACATCCTCATCAAGCTGCAACAAGCGACATCCAGCAAGTAGTAGCAAGAAGCTACTAGGAGCAAAGGGCATCGCCACTAGGAGCAAGGACGCTACTAGGTTGGAGACCAGCATCAACAGCTTAATCTTGCAGTTTCGAAGAAATGAGGCTGCTGCAATGTGTACCAAGGCTTGCCATAGGAGTTCCCGCTCAGAAAGCGGAAGAACCTGAACATCAAGCTGCAAAGTAAAGGACTCTGACTCTGAACGTCATGGTGTATTATCACACGCATCAATCTTACAGAGTGCAAAGTTAGCACATGCTCGGATCATGAAAGTGAGCAAAACATTCTAGAGTGGGCTTCGGATGGAATCGACATCTATCGAAATTGGTGTCGCTTGTGTCGCGGCAGCAAGGAACAAATGCAGCTGTGCCCTTTCAGCCCTTTCATACTCATGACCGTCGGGTCGCTCTAAACCTCTTTCGCTTTTAGAAGGCTCTTGGTCTTGTGAACTTCATGCATCTGCTTGCAATGCTTTGGTCTGGAACTCGTCTTGTCCTGAAAAAATGGAGGTCAATGCACTAAGACTAAACGCAGGAAGGGCTGACGGCTAAAGGGGATGATAGTGCCAAGAATTGGTCTATTGAACAAGAAAACTGGACAAGTAAACCATACCCGACCTTCGGCAGGGGTGATACCTGGGTTACCGGAGTGTAGGTGGGTCCCTTTCTTGGGATCGGTCAGGATGGGTGGGCCAGAGCTGCAAAGCGATGCGATGGTACCACAGGTCCACGGAACCGTTGGAGGTTGAACAGCTTAGCAGCTGTTTTCTCCTTTTGTGCCAGGGGGATGGCCATGCCTCACCATGGATATGTGAAGATTCGCGTCGAGGGATGCACGCAAAGCCTGGCATGTTTTGGATTTGGATTGCTTGGTTGTGAAGCACGTGCCATACGCCAGGCACGCTTGCATGTCAAGGAATAGAACCCCCCGGCACCGAGGCAAAAAAAAACATATGACTTGTCGTTTGATGACCACCATGTGCACACAAGTTCTCTAATGCGTGACGCCTATGACCCATTGACTTCGCTGCCGTGACTGCTCGAACGCCATGCGTTCGTTGCGGCCGTGACTGGTGATTTTTCGCCGCACCGTTGGACGTCTTCACGCGTTCCCGTGCACCGTGTCGTGCTCCCGTGCTGAATCCGAATAGCAAGTTAAGCGACTAATGGATCCATTAGGAGCCCTTCTGCGTTCGGATGGGCAATCTCTGATTGGCTTCAGCCACAAAGATGTGCCAAAAGAACGTTTCGTTGTTCTGGCCGATTGAATCGCGCGTGTTTTGTCCTATGAAATCCCAAGTAAGCAAGAGCACGGCTTCGATGGCAGCTTCCCCAACACCCCCCGGAACCATTGGGCAAAATGCAGCCGCACCCGCAGGAAAAAATAGAAAGGATGGACTGGGAACCTCAATGGATCATAAAGTAGAAGCGGGTGTGTGTGTGTGTGTTAACACCTGTTCCTAAGGTTTGTGCCTAGTCGGTTTCTAGAGGGCTGGTTGCTCTTGGCCTTGCTACTAGGAACTAGAGGTTTCTAGAGCCCCAGAGCTCGCCACTACTTGAGCACGAAGAGGCAGGGATGCGGAAAAAAAGCAGGGGCGTACGGCTCGTCATACCCACCGTACGCAAGGAAGCTACGGTATGACGAGGGAGGGGTGGACTGATCATCCACCTGTACCTGCTTAACTTTTAAGCTTTGCTGGAGCAGTCTTGCATAAACATTGTTCAACAATACAATTGCGCCGACTCTTTCACCTTTCCGTTCCATCGCCATTTTCTCCTGGGAATTGAGTTAACTGAAAACCAATGTCAGGGTGTGAACCGCTCAGCCGTCCCACTTGGGTGCTGGGTGTGATCCCCGTGACAGGGGCGCTGAATTCATGCTGGAAATCGTGTAACCGACTTATTCTGTCCACCACTTCTGGAGTTTCATAACAGCTTTCGTTTCACCACTGAATTAACTGCCTTTCGAGCCGCCGGGCTAATACGGTTACCACCCTTCGACTACTGAACCTTCTCGCATGCTGCTAAGTATTCACTTCTCCACGTCATGCTGCTAAGTATTCACAGGCCAGGTTCGGTCGACTGTGACTTTCGGACGACTTCGGGTTTGCTCGAGGCTTTAGGTTTAGGTAAAGAGTTGCTCGAGGTCTTTCAGGTTTCAGGTGAAACTGTTGCACCTTTTGCGACCGAGCGGAGGGAGGGTTCGGCACGTGAACGACTAAGTAATCTTTTCTGGTTCTTTTGGTTTTTCTTTCCTGCTGTTGCCTTTCGTTTTCTCGAGGCCTTTCTTTAGGTTTCAGGTGCCTTTCAGACGGGTTGCGCCGGCCCAAATCGGCTTTACTTGAATGCCAATGATGGCAATGCCTTCGGGGTTTTTTTCCCTCCCTACCCCAGGCCTGTGTTGCTATCCCACCCGCTATTCGGGCAACAGAAGGAAATCGCACTCAACACACTTGTGTGTTGGTGCCTTTCCTTCTGTTTCCCCTAGGCCCTATCCTATTGCTAGCTACCCAAGCGGTTTAAGACAAAAGTCCCGCTCGCGAACTACTTTCATTTAACTAAGTGGGCCTCGTCACTATACCTTTCTTTCTTGCCCTCTTAGTCTGCTCTTGTTTTGTTTTCTTTGACTGTCTTTCTAAGGCTCTTTAGGTGACTAGTAGTCTTTTGGAACGCCAATATTGGCGTTATGCGTACAAAGCCGTTGCCAACAGACAGAGCGCCGAACGCGGCATCCTGTGTGTGTTAACACCTGTTCCTGAGGTTTGTGCCTAGTCGGTTTCTAGAGGGCTGGTTGCTCTTGGCCTTGCTACTAGGAACTAGAGGTTTCTAGAGCCCCAGAGCTCGCCACTACTTGAGCACGAAGAGGCAGGGATGCGGAAAAAAGCAGGGCCGTACGGCTCGTCATACCCACCGTACGCAACGAAGCTAGGGTATGACGAGGGAGGGGTGGACTGATCATCCACCTGTACCTGCTTAACTTTTAAGCTTTGCTGAAGCAGTCTTGCATAAACATTGTTCAACAATACAATTGCGCCGACTCTTTCACCTTTCCGTTCCATCGCCATTTTCTCCTGGGAGTTGAGTTAACTGAAAACCAATGTCAGAGTGTGTGTGTGTGTCCACACCTGTGCCTAAGGTTTTGCGTCACAAAGGACGCTACTAGGGGCTGCTGGCATCGCTACTAAAAGCAAGAACTGTACTACTGCGGGCTCCTGGCCGTAAGGCTACTAAGGCGAATCGGTTGATGGTCCAGCAGGGGGGCAACGGCCAGTCTTCTTACGTTGCCCAACGAAGCTACAGAAGACTGGCGGAAGCTTTCAGGACACCTGAATGTGTACCTGCCAATTTTTAACTCGACTCCTCATGTTTCACCTATGTTCAACCATTCTGTTGATCTGACCCAGCACTTCATGCCGTTTTGCAAGTCAAGGTCTAGTCTGCAGCTGGTATTGTAGTCACTAGAGTGGGACTTCAATCATGAACTCTTGCGAGCAACTCTCCAAGTGTGTGTTTAACGTTGCCAGGCTGGGATGTTTGACTATGGTATGATTTGGAGATATTTTTCGGCGGTATGAGTCGTGCAGTGTGAAGACTAAAGTACAGTAGTAGCATTTTCAGAGGGTATGCTTCGGGGTATGCCTTCGGGGTATGCTTCGTCTAAGTCGAACATCCCAACCCTACATACACTGGACACGTTAAAAAATACAAACCCAAGTGAACAGTTCCTCTCAATTTCGTGAAGGCCTGCTTCTCCACATGTTTTTTTCATGTGTTCAGAGCAAAAGGTTTATGTTTCAGCCTTGTGCAAGGCTCCGTGCCAAGCTCTGAGGTCTTCACTCAAGGTGCTGCTCTTCCGTTGCAGAGCTCTTCATCCAAAGAGCCTCGGCGGACTCTCCAGGTCTTGGTCCCGACCAACACACGACCCTTAGAGGACACGTGAAGCCACACCTCCTGCTTATTGATGGGCTTGGGCTCTCCTTCCTGACGCTAGGCCGCTAGGGCTGGTTCAACGAAAAGAAACGTCACGTTTCATCTGCCCCATCTGCCAGCCTCTGTGACATAAATCGGAAAATCGATAAAGGACGAAAACCTCATCACATGCCGCCCTCGCATGCCACCGCGGCTTTAAAAAAAGGAAAAGAAAAAAAACATGCATTAAGCTGCCAGCTTTTGAGCTGCCTTCTTCACCGTCGCCTGACAAAAAAGAACAGTGTTGCCAACAGCTGGTCGACAGCCACGTGGATCGTTCATGCCGCCCCGGTTCTCCACTTCCACCCCCCCACCAGTTTCGAGAACTCCGTGGCGTCGTCCTTGAGCGTTAACCTGAGTCGCAAACGAAAAAAACAGGTTAGTTTGAAACGAAAAAAGCAACGTGGAGGTGTTTTTTAGAGACTTCCCATGAGGTAGATGTGTGATGGGCGATTCCTCAGAGTTCCAGGGCACTCTTATATAAGTGGATGGATATGGATGGATGATGTTCATGGGAACGTGGATGGATGGGGATAGGTCGTCCGACACCACTGGCGGATGATTTTTGCGTCTCATGGCTCGGTGGAGCATCGTTGGGTGCCGGGCTCGATCTTCGTTCCCCTGGGCACCTCGTCCACTTCGGTGATGGTGAAGCTCCCCGAACCTGGAGAGCAGGCTCGGCGCCCGCGCGCGTCTAGAGGAGAGTCACTCTGAGGCGCTCAAAGGAGTGCCTCCGCCGGAAAAAAACACCACAACTGACAACGACCACGACCCCAAAATAGGGGGGAAAGGCCGCCTCCGGCCGCAGACGTCTTTTCTGAGCGCAAGGCCATCGGAGGTCCAAAGGTAGCCTTTCTCACCCTTTTCTTTGTCCGCCGTTTTGGTGTAGACCTCCAGCCCGGGCAGATGACCACTGGAGGATGAGTCTCGGGGGGGTTTAAGAAGTCCAGTGGAAAAAATGTTCCCAGCATGGGCCCCAAACAGTTTAGGGAGTGTCTTTTTCCCTCAAAGAGAACCCCAACAGTAAACTGTTTGGGGAAATATGGTAAAAAAACAGCTGTGCCTCGACTTTGTCTGCCACAACAAAGGTGGAGTAAAAGCCGACTCCGAACCTAAGTCACCATAGACAAAAGTGCTAGTACACGGTCCTAGGCGCTTTCTTAAGCGCCAAGCTGACCAATGATCTTGCTGGCATCGGACTCGCCACCTCAGTCAGTCAATCCCACAAAGAAGACGGATCGAAGCAAAGGAAACATTTCGGCTGTTCCATGTGACCTCCTGTGACACTCTCTCAACGGCTCACGGCTCACGGCTCCCACTCGCGAACTTGGCTCGGCAGCCGACGTTGGAGGAAGTCCAACGAGCCACTCTTTGCAATGGTCCCCAGATGCTCAATCTGACGATCGAGGCGGTTTCACTCAGCATCTGGATGACTCACGTCGGGGTGGCTTGCGTGATCGCTGCAAACGAACGGCCACCACGAACGGCCGAAACAGCTGAAACCAAAAGCAGACGGAACGGTCCTTGGCAAATCCAGAAGCAAAATCGGATTGCTGTGGGATTGCCGTGGAAATATGTCGATCTTTAAGGGCTCCCTATGGAAGAACATCCACCAGACCTACCTCGGCCGGGGCACCAGGAACCCATTTTCCAAGTAAGCAACACTGACATGGCCCAAGGAATGGCGACGGATGGTCGACATCCCGTCTTGCTACTCGTAGAGCGGCCAGAAATTTGCCACGGCAACGGATGGTCAAATAAGCAAGCGAGCAAGCGAGCAAGCAGGCAGGCAGGGAGGCAGGCACGCAGGCAAGAACGCATGCAGGCAGGCAAGTAAGCAAGCGAGCCCTCTACCAAAGCATACAACTTGAGGCCGGGGGTTGGTGACGAAAGCTAGCATTGCCTTAAAACGAATAATATAAGGTGTGGATGCGCGGCATGATGTGAACATAATGGTCCCAAAACGGATGCTATCAGAACTGGGATGCTCCCAAATCTGACACGTCAAAGGGGGAGTTCAACAGGGGGTCTAGCAGTTGACAAGTTGACAATTCACTGGGCAGCCGATTCCATCCCCCAGCCAATAACTTGCTAAAGCAAGAGTAACTCCAGCTAGCTGCAGCTAGCATTCGTGACCTGACCTGAACATACTTGAACCATCTTGCACAGTACCACATCGGAGTCTTTCTTGACAGCAAATCTCATGGTGTGTTTCCGCAAATCTTCGTCTGAAATCGCTCTGGGTCCCGAAGAGTTCTGAGAATCGTGCCAGCTCATCATGGGTCATTCCAATTCCGGAATCTTCAATCACAAACTTCCTGGCAGCGATATCGTCGGATATCGTCGGATATCGTCGAAAAGCAGAGCTTTTGGAGTCGAAAAGGACAACTGTTTGAAAAGACAACGCCTGTTTTTTTTCTCTGACTGGCGTCACGAGTCGGGATGCATCATGACATGGTGCATTCTGACTAAGCTCAGCTCTGAGCAAAGACTGTAGCTTCCCACAGACTCTGGTTGCGCAAAAGCGGCAAAAGCTGTACAAGTTAAAAGTGCTGTCCACTCACAAGGCATTCACTCTCTCTGTGTGGCGTCTTCCTCCATGTCTTCTTCCTCATCGATGTGTCGCACAGGCCGGTACGTCAAGTATGTGGCCAGGGGACCAGAGCGAAATTTGGCATACCTCCCGGACACTTGCTCATACCTGCGTCCAGCTTGCTTCAGCATGCTTGGCAGAGTTTTTGCCTTCTTCTTGATCAAAGACACTGACTTCTTGCTCGTTTCCACCGCCTTCTCGGCTTCTGAGATCTTCCGCCCCGTCTCCTTGACCGTCTCCTTGGCACTCTGCACCGCCTGCTGCGTCTCGTCCATGGCTCGCTCCTGCTCATCCAGGCTCTGGCGGTTTTCCTGGAGCTTGGAGAGGAGGGCCTGGGAACGTTTGGAGAACTCCGAGTCCAAGGATCTTAAGACCAGTTGATCAAAGGTCTGGCGGCGTGCAAGCTCCTTCTTCAAAACAGCAGGGGCAATGCTCAACAACTCCTGGTGAAAACCCACCTTTTGCCCAGCCTTGCACAGCAGGTTGATTTGCTTCCGAGTCGTTGATCCCACAGTTACTGCTTCTTTGAGTGGCTGATACGTCTTCTCTTGAACTTGCTGCAACTGATGACACTCTTTCTCAGCAAGCTTTACGTCTTGACTCACGCTCTTTCGCTCCGCAGATGCAGATGCCAAAGCCTTTGTCTTGGTGACAATGTACTTGCTCGTCTCCTTGAGCGTCGTTTTGTGGTCTTGCACGGCCTGTTTTGCGTTCTGGAGCTGAGTCTCCGCGTCCACTTGCTGAGCTGCCAACGTCTTCTCTTCCTCTTTGGCTTTGTCAAGGCCATCTTTAGCAACGCGAACCTCTTCCTCAAAGACATTCACCACTTTAGCCATGACAGTGCCGAGCAAAGAGGCAGACTTCTCCTGCTCAGTCTTCTGGCGACTCTTGGCTGCCCGTTTGGCTTCACGAAAGAGCTGCTGAGTCTCTTTGGGGATCGTGCAGATCTTCTCCACACGCTCCAAGATGCTGAGGCACCTGCGGCTGGTCAAGCTGCCTCGCGCTTTGGGGGGGGCTTCCACCTTGGGGGCCTTGGCCGGTCGCTTCATAGGTCCTTGGCGTCTCAGAGTCATGGCGACAAGAGGAGGAGAAGGCGAGCCCCAGGTGGCGACACAAGGCAGCGGCTTTCGGTTTGCCCGGAATGCAGCTGCGGTCGTCTTGGGTTCCAAAACACATCCGTTTTCCTCACTGAGTGACTCGGCCGGCATGAATCAAATCCTGGATGCCCCACCTCTCGCTCTCATTCACACTAAGAGTCACTTGCAGCCTCGCGAAAGAATGCCAAGCCAAGGAACGAACACAACTGATATCGAACGAATAGATCTTTTTAAGGGTTCATCTCAAGACTACAACGGATAAATCATAACGCAGCATGCATTCCTGATATAGTGACGGACGCCCAGATAGAATATGAAAAACTATTTGGTATGCACACAGAATATGTTCCAAGTACAAAAAACAAGTACTGTAGTTTTGAAGTGTGCAGATAGAATATTTGTTTGCACATAGAATGTTTGGGTTGTTAAACTAAATATACATGTTGCTTCAGTCATGCTGATTATACATCGTACATCTTCGGACTGTGACATCCAAAAGCAATCAGATTATGGCAGCTTGTCGAACCAACAGCGATTGACGTGTCTATTATTGTGTATCAATCAACTCAACCACATATATTTCATAAATTCATATTCTATCTAACCGCAACTCCACTTTGCTTGCACTTAGATGGACCAAATAGCTTTTGGGGTTCATATGCAATCTGTGCGTCTACAGTACGATACATAAATTGCCATGCCAACCGAGACGAACAACCGAGACAGGAGACGAGGCACGGCCGCTCGGCGTCGCTGACGTCCTTGACCTGCTGCGTCGTCTGCCTCGGTCGAAGAAACCCCTCAGCCGACCTCCCCGGGCGAACGCGAACGCGGGGAGCGACGCCCAAAGGAGGGGGGAAAAAGGCACCAGTATGCTGCAGGATGCTGGGCTTCGTTGCAGGAAGCGAAGCTTTTCACAAGCATCCGAAGCGTTGGAGATCAACTCTCTGATGAAAACCTGGGAAGCTTTGGAGCAGACGTGTCCAATGAATCTTTGAACTGGAAGAAGCATGACGCCGAACTGTGAAGCCCAATGCCTCTTTGTCTGTGTAGAGAGACTTGGCGACGATGTCTAAGAGCTTCTTGGTCTCGGCCTTCCCAACAAAACACGAACCATGAAACAAGTCACTTCAACTCTTCAGTGCCTTGAACTCATGGGTCTCTGTTGAAAACGGCCTGCATCGATCGACCGGTCCGCTCACGTCGCGGGAACTCCGCCAGACCGACCGAACGCACCGGTCACGCACCCGACGCCTGGTCCAGCGAGGTGTTCTGCTCGGCGCCACCCCCGAGATCTGGGACCGAGCAGACACAGATCGGAGGGACATGAGTGGGTGGTGGCAGGTTGACGCCTGGTCCAATGAACAGGATTCCTCATGATTCCTCTATTCATAAGGGATGTCAACTTCCCCTGGAAGTAGTGGGGGAGGTTTTGACTCACAGCCACATCATCAGACAAAGACAGACAGTGAATGGAGCATCTTGGAGGGTCACTGGCACACATCGTGCGAAGGAGCTTCTGTACCTGTCCGCAAAGACGATTGTTTCCTCCAGAAACTCTGTGGCTTAAGACCACTTGGACAAGCACTGCTGCTTCCAAATGATCTCTTTCATTCAGTTGGCTGTTGCCTCTGCGTTTGCTGAAGAATCACATCGATCCGACCGCCTGGCAGCCTCAGGGCGCCGTGCTTGTCGTCCGACTCGTGCGATGTGCCGTGCCGCACCTGCGCGCCTGGTGTCGGTGTCTCGGTGAAGCGCGCGGTGTCCGAGTGAAACGATGTTTGGATGCCATGTGTCCTTCTCCTCTCAAGCACCGCAGTTGGACGGTCTAGCATTTGGACGTCGGCCTTTTGGGTTCCTCCCAACAAATCACTCAGGACAAATGCGAGGGATTGCAGCTGTACACCGAAGATCGCTGTCCGCAGAAGATGAGATTAAAATCATGGTAGAAGAGTGTCCTGTGCCCTTCATGATGCAACTAGGTCTGATTTGCCGAGGCTGCAAGAGACACGAAGCCAAAGGTATCTCAGCCACCAAAAAGGCTTTTGTACACAGGCCGCCAGAGGCCCCCAGGGTGCACAATGGGCGAGATTGGAAATCTCTACCACATCAATACGAAGGCCATTCTGCACGAGCCATCAAGCTCTGAGCTTAGTTCAAACGCTCTGAGCAGACAAGGCCAAAAGCGAATCATTGACTCTCGGCTTCTGAGTCATAGTTGGGATCCTTCTTGTCCAGCTCCTGGCCACTTGATGAATGAAAAGGAGTCTGGCTTGTTCAAACATTCAAGACCAAGCACATTGGATCTTTGTAACAAAAAAGAACAAAGCCTTTCAAAGAGTTCCAGTCCTCAAGTCCTTTCGCTTCATCACCGGGCCGGCCCATCGTAAACTTTCCTCCAGCACCATCCTCCCAACAGTTGCAGGAGAAGAAAACAATCGCTGAGTTCGCGAGACGCCGGTGACTCGCAGAACTGGAGAGTTCCGCAGGTCAGGTCATGACTCGTCCCTAGTCAGGACCATGGGAAGTGGGGGAGAACGTTCATTCTGTTCATTTTTGGGTGGGAAGAACCACAGCCAGTCCCGGTGTGACCCACAGCCATTCCTGACTTCTCTCACCTCACGACTGAACTCCCATGGGAAGTCCACGCTGAACTGCGGCCTTCTTTGGCTCTCCTCTCACGCTGGACTTGGGGTTGGCGGAGTGGCGCTCCTCGCAAACGTGGCGACAACTCGGGACAGGCCTCGTCAGGAGGGTTTACAGTCATGCATGCACTGGAATTCCAACTCAAACCCTTCACTGCGAAGGTGTCTTTGGTGCCCTTCTACCGTGTTCGCCAGGCAATCTGAGTAGGCTTTCAGAAATCGGTTCATAGAGCCTGAGAACCACAAGTCTCTGGTCGCGCATCGCGCTGTTTTGGGGGTTGCGCCCAGGTACCGTCAGCGCCGTCCGATTTGACGATTCGACTCCTTGCGCGCGAACTTGTCTTCTCCGGGTTTTGGCATGTCCTACAGAAAAACAAAACCCCCAAGCAGCGCTGCACGAGTATTCCGTGCAAATCTACAAGAACACCCATAGATTAACCAAAGCTGTGCCTGGAAGCAAAGCGCGGCAGAGTCTTCAGGAAGCAAGCAACAGAGCGATGGATGCTGATGGATACTAGGAGCTTGAACCAACTCTGCAGGACAAAACTGGGGCCGTAGCTTTCTGTAACCATAGAGTGGCAAAAGCCATCTTGTTGTCTATCTGCCCAGGACTCCAGGACTGAGGCTTCAGCAAAAGGCGCTGCATGGGCCGGACCTGAGGCTTCAGCTCACAGATTCGACGAAGAAGACTTTCCATGGAAATGAAACAGGCTGGGTGCCCATGCCAACCAAAATCGCTGATGGTGCAGGCTACAAAATTGTCTGAAACACAGCGGGTCGTGCATGCAGTGACAACATAGGTGTTGCCGCATATGCACTGCGGTAGTGTGGGTGTGCCACCTGTTTGAGCAACGTGGAGTAAGTCTCAATACTTGAAAACAAACTCTATGTTGCATTGTGAACACCAAAAGTCCTTGCTGATCTTCCGACGTTTGTTCCGGGCAAAGGAAGGAAACATTGCTCTTTCTATCTATATATTTCTCTGAGAACAAACACAAAACATTGCTACTTCCACAAAACATCCACAGCGTGACCGAGAACAGTGCTGTTCCACATGTTCGTCACTTGTGAACTCCAGACTTCTTCAGATCACATGCCAAGCGACGTTGACACATTCAACGTCCCCGTGTGCGGACGGAAACACAGTGGCTTACACACATGGTACCATGACATGAAGCGAACTTGAATCTCGAACACGGCACACCTTGCAACAACATAAGAACTCTTTGGCAAAGAATATGCAAAGGCAAAGCACCGTAAATTTGGCCTTTTTTGACATGACAAATGCGTAAGACGGATCGTGTGAGACGATAAACCTTCGCACATCACCGTAGTTTCAAATGCCTTGGGCACAAACAATTCACAGCGTGATGATTGTGTGCAAAAAGAAATGCAGCTCCAGGAACTAATCGCAGTGCGGGGGGCTTCTTTCTTGAGTAGCAATGAAATGTATGTTCTTGGCGATAATGAGGCATTCTTGGATACCTCAAGAATGTGCAGCACTTCATGTCCACCGCAGACTGCTGGTCTTTCAGCACGGAATTCCATGCGCATAAGATTCCACCCGAGGATGGCACTGCTTTCCTTCAACCCAAGGTGCCAAGTAGTCCGGTACCTGAGTGGACCTGAAGCGTTTTCTCGCTGCGGTCTGGGTGGACCTCCACACCATCTAGAGCGAACTCAGCCCCAAACCATCTAGAGCGGGGTGGAACGTTGCTCAGGGACTCAGCCAATGCCACTGTGAGTACGTGTGACTGCTGAGATTCAATGGATGAACATCTTCGCTCTTCAAGATAGATCACGGAGCACAGTCTTTGTATGGCGAACAGTCACGTCCTTTCGATTCGGAGATGATTCATCGTTCGGTCCCCGGTCCTGCTTGTGCCGCACATTCGCGTTGCAGTCCACGGCGAGGATTGGAATCTGACCAACGAAAAACACCCAGCTGAGTCTGGAAGTTACATTGGTTGAACACGTGAACAAGAAGACTCTCCCTGAAATCATCAACGTGGATGGCGAAAAACACCTCTTGATCACTCTCTTCAGAGATATGTTCAACAAGGTCCTCCGAAGGACAAGGAAAAAAAAACAATGGGGGTCGCTTGCACGGCCGTTGGACACGTGGTTGACCCACTTCTCGAGCACCTGGACTGGTGACAAACACACCACACCCCACCACTCCGAGTGCCAGGCATGCCATCGCTTCACGACGTATCGACACTCGCTGCAGCGCAACTTGAGCACCTCGGGGCCGGCGCTGACGGGAGGCGCGTGTCGTCGTCGTCGTCGTCGTCCGGGCCGATGGGTCTGAGCAAGCTGGCGCCTTGATGGTGCATGAGCCGCGTGTCCTGATGAGAAGAGGACGTGATGATCCTTTCAGCTGAACCGAAGACGACGAGAAGAAAAGGTCTCAGCTTTCGTCCTGGGTGACGGGCCCAAGCTTTGAAGCTGTAAAACCTTAGCATGGACATCCGCACGCACAGACTGTTTGCGGACATCCAGACGTAGCTGGGACTTCTACCGGACGTAACACTTGTGAGAGCACCAGGGACTCTCAGAGTGTCAAGAGCAGCACATGGCACCTGGCCTCAGCGACTGGCTTTACCGCAAATGAACTCTTTCGGAGATTCCGGTCGAAACAATTGTCCCAATGACATCGAATGACCCTATGCAGTATGCAGTGCACACTTTTGGCATCTTTTGGCATCGAGCATCAGGAAGAGAACTTGGGTATCGCCAGTAGAGCCCATAGCGGAGCGCCAGTAGGGCGTCTCCTCTCACCATCATACACCACTTTTGAGGCCCTGGCGGTAGCAGCCCAGTTGATTCCGCGAGAAAAGGCGTGTCAAAACAGCCGCCATGCTGCTGGGAAGCTCTAAAAAGGACCAATGAGTGATTGAAAAAGTTGCAGCCATGCAATTGCAAATCCAACAGTTGGCCAAACAGTCTTGTCTTGACTTTTTCCAATGAAATGTGTAACCAGTCTGTGACGCTAGACTGGCGACAGTGGCCGATATGTCAACGTGCTAAAACGATGAAAAGAGGTGTTCAATGTCTCTATGGACTCCGCAAACTGCAGCTTGAAGAAGTACAAGCAAAGCGGAAAAAGCCACAAACACAACCACCATGACCATCATCACGCCGCTCCCAATCGGGCCAGTTTTTGTTGTGTGACTTCTACCACTTCAGGTAGCTACTATACTGTGACATCTTTGGTTGAGGTCTCCAAGTCCTCCCAAAGGCTTCCCGCGCTGGAAAACCAGGTGCAAGGACCTGCTGAATGCTGCAGCAAGTAACTTTCCTCACTTTGCCAAATTGTGCTACCCTGCTACCCCAACACTTGAGTCGGCCCCAACTGCATACATTCAACAGTCCTGCAGCGCACGAAGATGGAAAACTCAAAACGCTGGACCCTGCCCTTGTGACTGGATTTTCCAGTCCAGGGATGATTGGAAAAGATTCTAAACCTGGCGATGCGTTCTGGCCAAAGCAAGAAACCAACAGCAGCCGAATTGCTCAAAATCGTGGCAAGTCTGTGGATGACTGACTTCAAAAGCACGGCATAGAGCTTTGGCTGCATCGGATACAGCTGGCTTCTAAAAGAAGCCGAAAAAGTTGCATTACCTGAAGGCAAAAATCTCTCACATTCACACAATAAAAATCCGTCAAGAACAATGCTCTGACGTAGTGGAAGACAAGCTCCAAATGTGTTTCTCTGCTGTTTCTTGCAGAAACATCTGACAGTTTGCTTGTTGTTCAGCCACGATCTCTTCTCTCCAATGCAGTGCTTCTAACAAAAGGGGGTCGGCCGCCTTTGGTTCTGTAGAGATGTTCCCACGAACAAGGAGGAGACCTTGGCTCGCAGCCTTTGGCTCTGGATTTGCAGCCAACAAAGTGACGCAGCGCTCCTGCTCCCTGGGGCCCCCGCTGCCAGGGCAGTCACCGCACCCACGACCAGCCGCTTCTGGGTGCGGGGACGGGCCACCATGTTCGTTACGTTTGCGCAGTTGCGCAGGACACTGCGCGGTTGGTGAAGCAAACTTCTGAATTCAGTTCGTGCAGCCCGCTGCGCGCCACGAGTTCCGCCCACCTGCGTCTGCTTGCCGGACCAAGCTTCCGACCTCTTCTGTGTCCTCCAAAGGAACAAAACGACCGGAGACGATCAGAGACAAAGAAATATCCAGAGCTCTTCCGTTCGATATGGCTTGGAAGAACCGGTTTTCTGCAGTGAGATGTGACGTGGTTCTCCTCTCCAAAATGCGGTGGCAACTCTTTTCAAGACGCTTTCCGACAGGTCCATCAGCTCCCACGCAGGTCTTGGTCCTAACAGTCGCTGGGCCGTTAGGTCGTTGATGTGGTCAAAAAATCTGTCATTGGTAAGCCAGGAAAGCCTGATGTAAAAAAATGTCATAAGAGTCAAAAAGGTCAAAGGATAAGTCAAAGTAAAAAAAACAAAAAAGAATCAATCAAAAAGACAAGTCAAAAAATACTTAATAAGAACAGTCAAAAAACAAGTAAAAAAGTAAAAAAAAATATATATAACAACTCTAACTCCAAAAAATAATAGCAATAAATAAAGAACAGTCAAATAGAAATCAAGAAAAGAAATCAAACATGGTCGGAGAAATGTCACAACAAATATCATCAAAAAACAGTCAAACAAATGTCAAATTTAGACAACAACTCGAACACGCAAAAGTCAAAAAGAAGTCAGATCTTGCCCAATTGACTAGTTTTTGACTTCTGAAACTTTCTGATTTGGCATTCTTCTGACTTTGACTTTTGGCACCGACTACTAGGTTGACTTTCTTTTGACTTTGTTTTTAATCTTGAAAACAGGCTCTCTCCAATGAAAGAACTTTATAATGGTGTGGGACATGATCGCCGAAACTCCGGAAACTCAGCCGCCGGCTGTGCCAAGATCTCCTCGGCAAACTGTCTGAACCAAAAGTGGACCTCAGCAGCTGGGTCATAAGAACCCGCAAGGAGCCAAACAAAGCCAGTGGATTCTGAACATCTTCTAGAGGTTGCGAACAGACCCTAATAACCCTAAGCCTCTGTTCTTGCACTCTGTATGAACATCGGCAACCGCACACATCGGCAGCTCAAGAGCAGCTCCAAACTCTCACCCTAGAATCTTGATAAATCAAAGCCTCCCCAAACATGGATTGCAAAACCTCTTCAGGTAATTTTATTGATCCAGAGATCTCCAGAGTCTACATTTAGCCCTAGCTCCATGTCATCCCATTTCCGCCATCTCTGCTCCCCTTGCTTCCCTTGCTTCACCCCCTCCTGAGTGGTGCACCGCATTGGGACCATCACAGCAAGCAACGATCAGCCGGGCAGTGAGCCCCTTTCGAATCTTTACGACTCCGGTGAACCTGGGCGAAGCAAACCAAGTCAATGGCTTGCGCCATGCCATGCCGTGCCGTGCCATGCTCTAAGGCTGGGGCACCAAAGGATTGTCGAAACAAGCAGCAAGAGTTGCAATCGCCATGACCTGCTCCAAAACGGTGCTCCAAAAGAAATCAAGACTCTTGGGAGGTTTGGGATGTCGCACCAAAACGAGGCCTGTGGAATCGCACAGAAGCGGTAGATAGCTGGCGTGGAGACCTGACTTTTCTCTTAGCACCAAATGATTTTGAGAGTGAGCTTTCAAAAGTGGTCGCCACGAAGGCAGGTTGACACGTTCTCTTCCCCAAAAAAAATGAGACATGTGCTCGCTCCAGGTACCTGGCCACAGGTGGGAACACCTAATCACCTAGCATTGCTAGCAAGCGCTAGTGGTGAGATCACCGCGCAAAGGAGGGCTCACTCGAGAGAATCTGGCACCAGTTCGAGGGCATCTGCAACCAGGTCATTCAAGCACAAGAGCGCCTGCCACAAATAGAACCAAGCCAGGGCGGCCGACTTTCAGCATCCAAACCAGGTGGCCAAGATGTCACAAAAAGTATCCAATGATTCCAATTCATCTCAAACTGGAGAACTGGCACCGACTCACACTTGCTTCTGCTTCTCGCCTGCACTCCCACCCCCTTGGCCAGGACTTCGCCACCGGCCTGCCAAACCCAGACTGGACCGGTCCCGTAACTGGAGCACCAGAAGGCAGCGCGAGTGTCGTCGTGTGCCCGAAGGCAGCGCGGCGCGAATCGGCCTGGCCTTGACTGGAAGAAGCTTGCCTGCACAGGGTCGACTCGCTTCCCCAAGAATCCAAGTCATAAGGGAGCGAAGCGAGTCGAACGAGTTTTGGTGCGACCGATATCCCCAGGTATCCCCAACTTCTATCCCCAGGTTTCTCCTGCACCATGTGAAGTGGGCAATGCAAACTCGCCCAAGTCATTGCTGTTGGCATAGCTTTTCCAAACCTCAGACCAGAAGCTAGCGCAGCTAGCTCATCAGCTCATAGCTCGAATAGCTCCTCTGCTTCTATTCGAGTCCAGCCTCACACTGAGTCCTGGACTGATTGAGGCCAAAATGCTCGTCCATCCACCTGGGCAGAATAAGGCGAGATGAAAGCTCTTTGGTTCTTGTTTGGTTTCAGCACAAGCTGCAGAAGACATGAAGAGTGCGACCATTGATAAAAACATTTTGTGGGGAAATGTCGGACCATCCGCGCATGGGGGATTTATTCATCAGCCATCGAGGTGACATGAAGACTTTTTAGGTGCAGCACATAGTCCTCCAAGTAGTCTCGGATGATGTTGGTCTTCTGGAGGAAAAGACCCATAGAATTTGCAAGGCCTGGAGTCAAGCAGAAAGGCTCCAGTTTCCAGCTTCAACCAAACACCTGCGAGGCCCTGACCAAGGTTTGCAGCTTCTTTCTTAGGGTCTGCCTGAGTTGATCGTTTCCATGGTCGACTGAATCCAAGGTTCGGATTCGGAAGCTCAGACTGTGGCGCAAAAGCTCCACACTTGCTCGCCTGCAAGCGCCGGTGCTCAGAGCGATGCAAAACCTTTGGACCCTCTGAGAGTACATCCTTCTGAAAGGCACAAAATCCAGTGCTTCAACAGCGAGAGAAAGAGCCGGCCTTGCCCTGCCAGTTCAGAGCTCTCCTCGGATTCCAGAAAACGCCAGGCCCGTTGTGGGCTACAACTACCCTTTGTCTTTCCTTTCCGCAGACTTGCAGCATCAAGTCTAAAGCTGAGAAAAGGGGTATGTCTCTCGATGAGGCTAGCAAGTTCATAATGTTGCTCTGCTGTTCGCCTAAAACGGCATGTGCTTGCTTCCTGTTGCTCGTCTGCTGCTCTGCCCCCAACCTTTTGCGGTAGCGCCGCAGTCGAACGGCTGATGTCCGCAGCGGCCAACTGCGATCCAATGGTCAGCATGGTCCCAGCAGCCACCCTCTTCCGGAGTGGCCACTTTGTTCGGGGAGGAGGCCCAACTTCCTGGCGTGTTCAGACTGCCTTTCCTTTTCGCATGGTTTCGCCTGGGTCCTGGCAGACCGGACCTTGACCGGTCGGGGACATGCTGCGGTTGCGACGGTCGCGGTTGCGACGGTGGGCATCCACGCGACGGTTGCGCTCGGCGTTTAACGGTCACGCGCATGCGTGAGTCCGTTCCTTCCATGTTTAACAATGAGCACACAACGTGTGATAGTCAAATGAACTGACAAAGAATCTCTATCATGTCAATGAAAGGAGGCGTGTGCGGTGGAAAAGCAGCTCATCCACCTTTCACTCTGGGGAGAAGTGAAAGACTGCAAAAAGTGTCTGGCTGCTCTTGACCAGCAAAGTTCCAAACTTGACAAACTCGACTCCAGATTTGGCCAAGCTTCCATTCCGCTGGACACAAAGATTCGGGTCAAGCCTTCGCCCACGAGACCGGCCACCATGTGGCAATAGCCTGCTATGCATTCCTCGACTCCGACCGAACACCCGGCCACCGACCCCCAGGTCATGGCAGAACCGCTGGGCTGGACCGCTTGGTGACTCTCGACCGACTCGACTCTCAACCGATGGAGAGACCTCAGGTCCGACCGGCGTGCGGGTGGAGTCCATCGCAGCGGCGAGCTGATGGATGCTCGGTCGCACCGAGTCTCCTTTGTTTCACCCGGTGGAGGTGGTGTAAAAATCCCTTAAGCCTTAAGGTGGAACAACGAAGCCCTAAAAAAGAAAACGGGTCTGGCAGATTCAACAAGCAGAAAAACAGAGGAGGATGGACTGGTCAATGCCATACTTCCGGATTCTTGGGGTGGGAGAACAGGAGGCAACAGACAGAACAGTCTTGACGTTGTCCATCCTGGAGCTCTAGCAACCTTGCCACAAGCATGTAAAACGTCGGAAAACCATTAGCCTCTCCTGGCAATGACAACCGTGAAGTTGTTTATGTCTCAACTTATTCAACCCAAATGCTTCAAGGGTATTGCTATGCCCTCAATGTCAGAGTAAGGGGCCCATGCTACGCCACAACATCATGCTCCCACAGCACGCGTGAGGGACGCAACTGAAACAAGCCAGCTCAGCGGTTGTATGCTGCTTGATCGAGAGTCCCTTGTGCTAAATCGGCAGAGACCTGCATGCTGAGTTGACATCACAGAAATGTCTATACCCAATGCCAAAAGCTCTAAGCACGAGGCATATTCAGCCATGCCAGCACCCATCTTGTCAGTAATGTTTCGAATGACTTCTCGACTGCCTCCCAAGTGTCATTGTCCCCAGTGTCGACTCACTTACAATGGTAATTATTGTTATACATTATTACACATTACTCTCTTGATATCGCCTTGGAAGGTGCAGATTTCTCAAAAGCAAGACTTCCAACCATCTATGTCGGATTTCATCAGGAACCACACAGACAAACCTAATCCGCGGTCCTGCCTTCGCTCAACTTGGCAAAGACACGAGCCTTGTGCATGAGAACGCTTCCACCAAGAACCCGCGTGGAAAACCAAAACGGCCCCCAGCCACACGCAGGTCACCCGCTTTCGGCGACCACGGGGCGACCAGACCATTCGACGGCAACACCATCTCTGGGGCCAGCTCCACGCGACCGAAATTCTCCACAAGGGTTCGCTCATCGGCTGCACCGACACCTCGGTTTGGGGTGGACTGGACACCCTGTTCTTCTTCGGCGGTGTTCGAAAGTCGAGGGAGCTCGTGCCTGTGATGCTACAGTTCGGGTCGGTCAGCCTCGTGAGTTTTCAGGAACAGAAAATGAATTCGGACCAGTTGAAACGCGGAATCGCACCAGTGCGGGGAAGATGGCCTCTTCTCTCCAAAGGAAATGAGTTCTGCCTGTTTGTCAGATTCACGACCTGGTCAAGCGCCGGCACAGCAGAGCTCAACCGGCACAGCAGAGCTCAGCCGGTCTTGATGGATCATTGATTTGCCTGTTGCAGTGCATGTTTATGGCCATTCGCCTTTGTAAGCTTCCATGTCATCCTCCACAGTGTCAAGGGCACGAAGCACCTGGTGCGAATTGGACAGCTCGGTTCATCTCTCCATGACACGTCCCAATCTCTGAAATGAATGCTTTGAGCGCGTGGCCAAGTAAAAGATGCAAATGTCAATGCCTTCCCATTCCAGAACAAGTTCAAGCCAACTCACACAAGATTGGTGTCAAGTCATCAAGGAGAACAACAAAATGTTGCTTCTGGCCACTGAATACAACCGTCACAAAAAAAATGTGCCAACTCAGGCAAACAGGGTGAGCCAAATATCTTCAATATCAGAACCAATATCAGAGGCTCAGACTCAATTGGGTAGGCAGCTGTCGGATCACTGCCGCAAAAGATCTTGAAACCTGCCAAAAGTCGCAACTGCTTTGCTCAATCTTCCTAATTGCAGTACAGCTTCGAGCGAAACCTTGCCGAGCATGTCATCGCAGAACTCGATGTCTTCGTCTGTCTGGCCCTGCGGTAATGAACACAAAGGAGGTTTACTTGTCCTTGGAACAGGTGCTCTTGATTCCTCGTACCGTGCCAGTACTACAAACACACACATTCTCATGGTGGCTATGCTTTCTGCCTTATTGCCAAATTGCATTTAGAGGTCCAAAAGGAACACACACAATACGAAAACCTCAGCCAGCCAATGGTGCGCTCCTTGATGTTGTTCTCCAAAAGCCCTGTACACCTTAAACGGAGGACACACCATTTCGATCTGAGGGTTTGCATGGGTAAAACAAACCTGTCATCATGGTCTACCAAAAATCAACATTTGCCAAAGTTGCAACATGTGCCAGACCTAGTGCCACAGGCGACGCTGAGTCCTGAACTTCAGCCTCAGGGCCGAGATGATCTCCAATGGCCTTCACGTCAAGCACCATAATGGGTTCCCGTTTGGCAGATTCGAGATGACGCAAATCAAGCACCGACCCGACCCCCGACGCACAACGGCCGCATCGCCACCTTGTACAAACATATGTCATGTTCCACTTCAAGGAGAGACAGCCGTGGTGACCCGTCTAGACCGACCCCAAAAAGCTCCGGAGAAAGCTTAGCCCAGGTGACCGCTCCAAACATGGCCATTCAAACACGTGCGACCCGCACCAAGCTGGTCAGGCTGACCCGGACCACCTCCTGACACTGCGACTTGCAAGGCACACAGCTTTGGAGGAGCCACCTGCAACTACTGCTACTCCTACTCCTACTCCTACTACTGCTACTACTACTGCTACCAATACTTATACTTATACTTATACTATATAGTTAGAATACTAATACTACTGAGGTGACTCCGGTCGTTCCCTTGGCCCCCGACCCAACGACAAGTCGTCGGTTTTTCGGTGGCCTCATCAGCTGATCAAGCTTCGGGATCTTGTGGGTGGGGACCTGCTACCGGTCGCAGCGAGTGATCGAGCGTCGAACGGGGCGGTCCACCGACCCAGCAGACCCCCGGCCTTTCCATATCCGCCTTGCTTCACATCCCCTGAACCAAAGGACCGACTGGAAGGACAAGCAAGAACCACCAAAGGTGAACGAAGCAAGGAAAGAGTTAGTTTTTAAAAAGTTGAACCAATCAAGAAGTGAAAGTTCCACTGAACTGCCTGCGGATGTGTCGACTTCAGCTTTTCCTCGACCCACGAATCCCACAATGCCTTTGGGCACATCAGCGTGATGCAAAACGATTCTCTGCATGGTGTAATGATTAGCACAAGGAGGCTGTACTGTCTTAGGCCGCTACGGTCTTCATGTTCAGCATCCAGCGCAACTTTTCGACGCTGGGCCTTTTCGGAATGACTTATAACAACTTATTTACGCTATGCTTAAATGATGACGTGAGGTTTGGAAGGTTCGCGATGTTTCACCATTCTGTGCTGTGAAAGTTCAGCGAGCCTCTCCACCTTCTTTGAGGGCAGCAGCTTCAGCCTGGGCTTCAAGTCATAGGACATATGATCGCCATGAATCAAAAATCCCTGAAAAACCGCCGGCCGCATGGAGACTTCGTCCAACCTTGGAGACTTCGTCCAAGAGAGGCTTGGCATCACCCAGGCCTCCATGAAACTCCTGCAGAACCGATCGACCAAGCTTCCGCTTTGGGCTCCACATCGACGGAACCGGCACCGAAGCACCAAGCCGGACGCTCCGGCGCGGTGTCAAAGCGGTGGATGGACGTCACGTCCACGTACCTGGGTGTTTGTGCTTCGAAAAGCAAGGCTGAAGACTGATTCTCAAAAGATGGAAAGACAAATGAAACCACAGGTTCTGTGCTTTTCCTTCACATGAGGCTTTTCAAATGCCTTCGGTGCTCTGCTCTCAGGCAAGCACTTGTCAGTTGTGAGAGCAGTATCCAAGTCCTGAGAGTATGAAAACCACTATCATAGGATAAGTCTTTCGATTTGTTTGTAAGAACTCGTCTTCACCATCTCAAGAAGACAGGACAGAGTCAGGCCTGCCACCAGGCATCCAGCAATCGCTCCTTGATGATTCTGAACCTGAGCTTCAAATGGATAAATAGAGAGAGAGCTTGTATATATATATATATGTATGTGTGTGTACATATATATATATATCAAAAGTTGAGACCCCCTGCCCAATGGGCTTCTATGTTCCCTCTACTCTTCCCAGAACAGGTCTCCTATGTCTCCCTATTTCAACAAAGGCCGCATCTCGCTGAGCTCACGTCCATGGAGACCAAAGCGGCATGTCACCCTTTCCTGCCATCGCCTGAACCCCCCCACTTTCCATGACTCAATGCACTGGGAGAAGTCTCTCGACCGATGAGCTGGGAGAAAGTTGGCCTCTTTGAGGTCTCCACTGCCAAGCCACCGAACTGCCTGTGAGCACTACAAGGCAGTGCAAGCACTGCCAGTGCCAGCCCAGAGCTTGCTACATAGGCTACGATACGAAGCAATAGAAATTGTCTCGAAAGTACCATACCCGTTGGTACAAAATCACGCCTCCACCTCTTCAGCATTTGGCTTTACGCTGAGCTGTTCACCGGCATTGAGACGGTAGAGCCTTGTTGCGACTCGCGATTGCCACGATCAAGTAAACAGCGAGCAGCCGCAGTAGCAAGTCTTCAAGTAATACTACGCAGGTTTGCGGAGCTTTGTCGGTCCGAGAGCTTGACAGAATGTGATCAATCTCATGCTCACCCCAAACGGCCTGCAGCACTCGGAACGACGGGCGGCTTGCGCCACAGGCCATGATGATTTCGAGCTCGCTCGAGCTCTCAACATCTAATGGACTAAAAGCTGGACCGTGGGGTTAGTTGAACACAATGTGAGTCCTGAAAATTGCCATGGATTATATAGAAAAAATAGAATTGAAAAACATCACAGAAACTATTCGTCCTACACTGCTAGGCCCAAGTCCGCAAGGTTTGGTAGGGAAACATGAAGTGAGGCACCCCGAGATCGATCTTTCACCGGCCTCCGAACCGTATGTGCCCACGTCAGCAGCCCAGTAGTGCACTCCTGGCTGCGCTCCGCTGCGCCAGGATGCGTCACCAAGTGCTTGTGCTTTGCACCGAAGCTCTGAGAGCAGAACGAGTCAGGAACTTAAAGCGCGAGGCATCCAGTTCCGCCTGCAGAACTTCGTGCAGTAATCCACCACAGTGCTGTGAAAGCGGAGTGGAAGGTCACGGGCGATCTGGCACAGAAGTCTTTGGAACATGTTTCGAAGCTTTTCCCTGCTCAGCCTGTCTGAAGAGCTAAGGAAACTGAAATGTGTCCAAAAGGCAAAAAACGTGCGACATGGGAGCAGTGGAACGAGATCAAGCAAAAGTCTGGACTGACATTTGCTTCATGGCCTTAAGCTGTTTCTATCCGCTTTCAGGAGACCAAGCTTTTCTGGGGAATCATCAGAGGTCGCGCGTCAGAATACATACTTCAGAATGCTCATGTCGGCTGCAGCACGTTCACTATTTCTACTCTACCTTCATGACCTGTGACCGTCTGCGACCTGCGGCCAATTCTCAGGACTCTACTGCTGGGATACCCAGTTCGTGTCCAAGCTTTCGAACTGCTGCGGCCTGTCAATGTATCCGAACGGATGATCTGATGGAAAATCACTCGCAGCTGGAGGGAAGGACATCACTGACTCATCACTTGTAGCTAGCTTTGACAGCCTTCACGCCCTTGGGATCACCCTGGGCAATGGCTTCGGGCCTGACCCGTCGCATGGTCAATCTGCTCCCTTTGTTACCAAGCGAAATGAACATGAGAGAGCTTTGATATCTAATGAAGAGTCAAAAAGCAGAGGACAACTCAAGAAGCAGAGTGCAGCTCAGAGTTCTTTCCAGGACCCTTGCTGGTCCACTTCACATGGCTTCATGCCATAGAGTGGATGGCTGCAGCCTTTTGCGTTCACAAAAATGAAAATTGTCCTGTTTACTTTCACTCTCAGCACTTGAGTTACCAAGTATAATAGATACAGTGCATTGCATCGTTGAATCTTAAGCATCAAAACTGATTGCGTGGAATTTCTCAGATTAGGACAGGTGTTCGTCCAAACAAGTGGGAAGGTGATCTTGCTCTTGGCCCTTTGTTGCAGCCTCGAAGCCGAGGTGCATGCTCACAAATGTCTGCAATCCCCCATTCAAAGACACATTCAAATATCCACGTGTACAGTGTACATGCTTACAACACTCTCAACATGAAAAGTTATCAAGTCAAAGAAAAACCAAATCAAGTCAAAAATGATTGTTGTTATATATTTGAACCCCTCTGTCCCTTTGCGCGACGGTGTAGAAGTGCATCCACCATTCGCAGTGGAAACTCCCAATCGCCCCAGGGCTCCGACAGCAAACGGTTTTCGTGGTCAAAGAGTAGCACCGAAAAGGCTCGATGCCTCGCCCGCACCGAGCTCGCTCCGCGGGAGGAAGAGGAAGGGAAACGGCAAAACGGCTGCCAAGGCCCAGTGCTGAGGTAGTAACAGCAATCCTCGAGGTTGGCCAGGTACAAACTTGTGACAGTTGTACTTGTTGTTGTGCCCAATGACCTCTGTTTCACTGAAGTCAAGAAATACAAGAATGTTCCACCTCTTTGTGTATGCCGTAGATTGTTGTATATTTATATATGTCTATCTAGATCTATATATATATATTTATATTTTGTTGTATATATATATATATATTTACGTTCACATTCCTACAAAGTTTCTTGCTCGGCCTCATCCATGTAATTCACAAGAATGCACTCGTCTTTGAGCATCAGTTCATCCTCCGATCCGCCATCTGCGAGTGTTCAAGGTCCATGTCGACTCGAGACCGTCATCTATCTATCCATGTCGATGCCGTCGGTCCTGTGTCTTGCCTGCACCTGACCAAATTTGCCCTTCACATTCCCCGTTGGCAGCCATGGGCCTTGCGGAGTCAACACGTCTTAAAGCTGAAGGTGGCCACGATGTGACAGGGCCTTCTTCACCACGTTGAGTTGCGAGAGCAAGGGTAAAGAGCTAAATTCAAGAGAATTGACAATTAACACAGGTGACAGTTGTAAAACAAAAGTTGTGTTAGAAACATCCAACATTGAATCTAAAAACAATGCAAGTGAAGGTAGGAAGTGTTCTGAAAATGGTTTGAACCAAAAGCATCTCGAAGTCACAACGGGTAAAAATGTATGCTTATGTCGGGCACGCCAGCCATAGATACAAGGAGCCAAAATAGTTTTATAAAGCAAAAACAAAGCAAAAAAAAACAAAAGGCAAAGCAAACAAAAAAACAAAAAAATGTAGCTGTGCGTATTTGTCGTTTTTGTTCACTTTTTTTAAGCTTTATTTTCGCATTTTTTTTTCGTTTTATTTTCGTTTTTTTTCGTTTTTTTTTCGTTTTTTTCCTAGGAGTGTACAGCAAAAACATATTTGTCGTGTTTTTTCACTTGTTTTTCGCTTTATTTTCGCATGTTTTTCGTTTTTTTTTTTCGTTGTGTTTCCGTTTTCTTCGTTTTTTGTGTTGCTTTGTTTTTGTTTTTCGCTTTGTTTTTGCTTTGTTTTTGCATTTTCATTTGCCTTTATTTTGTTTTTTTCATTTTTTCACAAAAAAAAATATTTGATGGTTGGCCATGTATGGCTGCCATCGCCCAACATAAATGTATGCATTCCACCAAAAACACACATGTCCAACAAAAAACAAAACTCAATAGACACCATCAAAAGCAGCCAGCACCCTACCATTCTTTGGCAATTTGATCCAAACACATCAATGAAATTGCCTTTTGAGACTAAGGTTGACAAGGGAAACCTTATGTTTTTTCCGGTGTTTCCCAAGGTGGACCAACACCATGGCCACAAATGCACCGAGACACCAGCTTGTCCATGACCACAAATGCAAAAAAAAACGCAAACTGGTCGGAATGCGTGTGGAATGTCAAATTAGAACACACGTTTCCAAACTCTGGTGGTCTGGCAAGCTTGCAAATGTTTAGATTAGAGAAAACAATTACACAGTCCACAATCGAATTCAGTTTCATGTCCGAGTTTCCAAACAACTTTGTGCGCGAATGGTCATGCAGCCGGCACGCGTTGGGTCTTTCCAACGGATTTCATATTTTTCAGGCAACCAAACAAACCCAAATCAACAATAAAACAAAAAGAATGTTCAGATGCCACAAATCTAGGCTTTGGACGTGCTTTGGGACCACGGTAAAAACGACAGCTGCACCCTTGTACCCCATTCTTCTCTCCCCAACTCAAACACATGATCTTGTCTTATCCTGTCCTCTTCGCAGTCGGTGATCGAGTTTTGTTTGTTTATGAGAATGGGCAAATTCTGCCACTTCTGCATTCACTCTTCGTGGAGAGCTTACCCATGTTACATACTCCCCCGCAAACTAACATAGAACCTGAGAGTTGACCTGTGGAAGACCATTTTCCTCTACAACCGAGTGGTTTTGGTGTTCCATGTTAATCTGCAGGGGCGTATTCTTGTCTTCTTATCGGAATTTGGATCTCTTTGCTTGCCCTTGCATTCGCCATTGCCCTTCCCAGCTCCTGTCAAAAGTTTTTTGTTCTCTAGTCTCTTCTTGGGCGAAGGCTGCGGCTCCACAGGCGCAGCTGGAACATTTTTTACCTCCTAAACGTGTGGTCAAAAGCTCACGCACCTTTTTCAGCGGGGAACTGCAACTC